AAACAAAAAGGATGCGTTCTCACTGAGTTGACGTTATTTGTTGTTGTTGTTGTTGTTGTTGTTGTCACATGAGCAAGTGTAGACAATCAAAGAGTCGGTTAAGGAGCATTTGTATCACCGTAGTACTTTCGGCATTTATTGTAGCAGTTCCTATAAATAAAACATATATAAACATATGCTGTCTCGCCGGAAGGTTTACTTTATTTTATTTTTTTTGTTCATTTAAGATTAATGTAAATATGGAAGTTGAATTGTCAGAATGATATATTTGTAAATGACCAAAGGCAAATAACTTTGAAGTTGATTAATGTAACAGGGAAATATCCCTCCTTGGAAATGAATAAAAATTGTTTGAAATAGTTTCATGAGAGTCAATAAACAAAACTAAAATTTTAAATGTCCACCACATTGTGGCCAATAAATATATTAAACAATGAGTTAGAACCCCTTGGATTCAAACTTTTAAATACCCAGTCTTGTCCACTAAGGTTTACTTTATATTTTGTTTAGGATGTAGAAATGTCGCAGCATAACAATACAAGTGAAGGCAGTAAACGCACAAATTCCACCTACGATGTTGATGATGGTGAAACAATAGAATTAAGGAGTGGTAGTGAACATGCTCCTGACCATGATGATGGTGATGATGTAAAGAAATAAAATGCGATGACGTTAGTGTAAGGATTGGTGGTGGTGATGGTTGTGGAAAAATTAATGATGACGGTCATGTATAAAGAAAATATTGGTGAGGAACGTAATGGCTTGAATGTAGAAAACAATAATGGTTTTGAGGATATTATTTATGGTAATGGTGAAGAGTGGTTGTGACGGTGTAGTGTATGTAAATATGAATAGTTGCGCTGATGAAGAAATAATGGTTACTTTGAAGAATAGAAAGATAGAGAACAAAATGTTGAAAAGTAAATGCTGTTTGTTGTTGTTGTAACCATGGTGGCAATTAAAAAAACTATTAAAATAATATGGTGGGAACTGTAAATTATGAATTAAAAAAAAAATAGAGGGATAGATGCATATAGTATTTATGATGAAGATGGTGGTAATGGAAATTTATTCAAGAATGGCAAAACAGTATTTCGTCTCTTCCAAAATTAGAGGTCATTGTAATTATAAAAATATTTTTGAATTAAAAAAAAATCTCGATATCATTTTAAACTATATTATTAGAAATGCTTTAACAAAAATACGACTTTGCTCTCATGATCTTGAGGATGGAACTGGTACATGTAGATATAAAACAATGTTGATAGAAACAATAGAAATTGTAAAATATGTTGTCAAAATTTAATTGAAAATGAATATCATTTCGTTTTATGTTGTCCAATATACAGAGATATGAGATCAAAATATCGAGGCCATTGAATTCTTTTGGTCAACTGTACAAAAGTAAATAATTTAATGTCTTCAAAAAAATGGAAAAACCATATTAAATCTTGCAAAATTCATATCGAATACGTTATCTTTACGTACAGATACTATTGACTTATAATGTCTACTGTTCTAAATATTATTAATGTAAATATATTAATGTTTGTATTTATATCACATGTATTGTCTTTGCCATAATGATATATTTGTAAATAGCCAAATGCAAATGTTTTGCTGACTGCCAATAAACTTTGAAGTTGATTAATATTACAGGGAAATATCCCTCCTTTGAAATAAATAAAAATTATTGACAATAACAAACACTTTGAAATAGTTTGCTTCATGAGAGACAATAAACAAAACTATAACCACAAACATTGGTAATTTTAAATTTTTAGCACATTGTGGCTAATAAATATGTACAATGAGCTAGAAACCCTTTGATACAAACTTTTAAATACCCAGTCTTATCCACGATTATCACGGAGAGACTTGTTTATCATATTTTATACCGATTACCTTTATCCTGGTGCTTTAATTAAAAAATAAATCATGACGACAATGTTGCATCTTTTTTTAAGTGGAGCTATTTTACATGAATTTAATATTTTTCCTTCATGTACATGTTTTACTTTTCATATAATTGTACAAGTTCTTTCGATCTGTACACCTCAAAATGTCCTATGGACACATTTCTAGTTTATCTTCAGTTTCCACCTTTGAAACACTGGGACACTTTTAACAACAAATTTTGACCTTTTTTATAATTGTTTTAATTCAATTAATTTCTATTTGTTAAATCATTAAATCCTAAATATCATTGCACTCCCAAGGAAGTTGAAACATGAAACTATCTTTTTTTTATAAATGTAACTTCACTGAATTCTTCATTGGTATATATTGTAATTTTGAAATGTTCACGACCGAAAAATAGCAACATGTATCTAAATCATGCACTTCTTCTCACATCGTTCTCGAGAAGGGAAGACGTTTTCACCTAACCGGAAGTACGGCCCTGTACAATCTTTAAACCGGAAACATGCTTGATTTTCCGCATTGTAAGTCCAGAGATCAAATACTTCGAAACAAAACGGCTGTTCTTCAACAGGCTTTAGGCATTCTGAAATGTAAAGAAGATTGGAAAACGATTCAGTTAATCAGGTAAAAATATTTATACACATTTTAAGGAGGACATCAGTCCTGATTTATTTTCTAGAGAGTTGCTGTTTTTTGATAAATAAGTTACCAAGGACATAAAATTCTAAATTTTTTGAACTCGTTGCATAAAATGATATTATGCTCGCCAAAGGCTCTCGTATTATGATTTTATTCAACTCGTTCAATAAATTTAGTATTAAACCTACACTCATTCAATATCCTCTATATTTATTATCTGCTATATAGCGGATATATGTAATATCGGATCATACCAGCAGCATCCATATATAATTCTTTCCTGTTTTGTTGTCATGTCTGATACTTTATACTATCAATATAAGTATTCATTGTATTACAGACCTTTCGTTATACACCAATTCACTTTAAAGGTTATCAAAAACCAAAACATGTGTCTTTTCAAAAAATAAAATATTAATTGATATTTAATTTGAAATATTATTTAATTGATAAATAAAATTAAAAACAAACCTGGGTCCATAGACAAACTTGTAGGCACACATTTCACTATCAGAATCACTGTCATCGCAAAGCTCAACATTTTAGTTCAACAGCCGATTTTATTCTGACCTAATGGTACAATATGGTCACAGGTTGGTAAAAAACAACAACAACATATTATACCGTAGATTATGAACAAATACCTTGAAGGTATGCTGAAACAGTTGACATTGTAATGGAAACATATTTTATTACTTGTATATACATGTACTATGATATTATTATAAGTTTTGATTATATAAGTTATGAATGCTAGAGTATAGGCTAGACAATAGCACGAACTCGAATATTTGAATGGCAAGTTAATCAGAACACTTTGGCAATAATTTATAATTATTTTCCGAAGATTGTCGGAAAGAGCCGAAATAATGCGATTTTAATGCCTCAAGATGAGAAAAAAAATAATTTCAGGAAATATTTATTAATGTTTAAACATTAGTAAAAGGTGGGGACAAATTATCACTGTTATACATACTATGTCACAGCTATAAGTATTAAAATGAATGGTTTATGGAATATATGTTTTATAACCATTAAAAACTATCCGTAAGGGCTATATCACACTCTAGGTACATATAACGTAAGCAAGTAGGCCAGGTTTAATCACTTAATGAATGTACATGACAACATGTTTACTTATTTGAATAAATTTTACCCAAACTTAATAAATGCACATGAAAATACGTTTACTAATTGGAAAAAAAATTACTCTGAATTAAATGATAACATTTTAAGTCCCATATTACCATGCAAAGTGTTTGAGCTATTAAGATAATCTTGATAACTAAGATGATTAACTTAAACAATAAACCTATTACAAAAATGTTGTACATATTTATATAGATTATGGAATTTACGAAGGGCCACTACTGTCACACAAATTTAAAAGACTAAAGAAAACGGAAACTTTAAAACGAATTGTCGTTTTAAATTCATATTCACTGAGTAGTAGAAATTAATATGTTTCATCTTTTGCTATGCGAAAAATTTGTCAACTTTCGATAGCATTTTTGTAAGCCCTTAAATTAAGTGGACCCTATGCCAGCTGGCAATCATTAAAGTCTTTGCAAACAGCCTACTGCAGTTATATAAGTTCAAAGCTCTTGAACATTAAAACCTAATTTCCTCTTAATTTCAGAAAATTACAAAAAAAAACTGAAATGCAATGCAGACGACACTTTAACGCGCGACATTTTTTATCGCATGCCAAGGATATAATATGTTTTGCTTAGAGATTTAAAAACGTGATATCATCTTTTAAAAAGTTCATATGATAACAGTAACTTTTGGAAAAAAATTAATGTCAACACAATATAATTGATTGTATCATAGTTTTGGGACCTATCTGTTGAATATGTGTCAACGTTAAATCGTATACAGTCTGTTAACTGGAGTGCAGGTATTAGTTACCCGCACTCCAGAGCATGCCCATTGATTGGCTCATTTTTGCTGGGGACGGCAGAGAAAGGGAAAGTGACAGAAATTTCATATTTACAGATGCTCTTTCATTGGTTACTTTTTTCTGGGGTTTCATATTGTGACAACAATGTGTTTTTATGTTTGATATGATACAAAAGAGGAAGAACATCAAAAACACTCGGCAATCTGATTAATACTCTCGGGGGGGGGGGGGGCTACGCCTCCTCGTACAAATCAGATAGCCTAGTGTTTCAATGCTCTTTCTAATACTTAACGGACGTATATAACTTAAATTTTCTAATTTTTTTCATTAGTGATATATGTCTTTTTCTGTCATGCTACTTTTTGGCACTGAAAAGTAATGGATAAATTTAAAGTGAAATTAAGTGCTAGTTCTTGTAAGTTATAGAGTATTATAGAGTAAAGAGTATAATAATATTTTTTAATTTGTGTTTTATTTATTTATAAAACTCGGAGCGTTTGTGATAGCACTTGAACTCTTAAATCATTAGCAATAAAGCAATAATAATGATATGCATTATGTATTCAAACTATGGTTTACCAAATGTTTATAACTTTTTACTCTTATCATTGATTCTTAAATGAAATGTTAGTTTTGCGAAAATATACATGAGAACGTTTAACTAAAAGGAAGTTTAAATTTTATACATGTTTAAATGGAAACCTTAATGAACTGTACGTGTAACGTTGGTGGATGTTCATCCAGGGATTGGCTTAATGCAGCACCGTGTCCACCCCCTTTCTTTTACGACAAGTTCGTAGACTATGCAATAAACATCGGTATTTGCAAACAGGAGGTTTGTGAAATAGCCAAGAGATGTTTGAAAAGATTTCCAACGGATGCATCATCAAGCATAATTCAGAGAGCTTGTTCACCTTTGACATCATCAACGAGTCTATTTCAACAACAGTAAGCTCTTCGACGCAGATAATTGTTACTACGCCATCTTCCTCAGGTAGCCCCCATTTTCTGGTCGTGCCGTTGATCGTCGTGGGTACTGTTATTGTTGTTGTTGTTGCTGCACTGATCGTCGCCTGGTGAGTAATATTTACATGTGCGACCATGTTTTAATATTTTAGATATCAGGCTTATTCCCGTGGGATTTCTCTGTTATGCATATAATTTTACATCAAGGCCTGGTTATATATTAACTTACGGTGTCCATCCTAGTATGCATAATCATGAAATATAATATTGTTTCAAGTTTGTTTGTTATTCATTGGCAAACTTTTTGATGTGACCCTTTTTGGAAAAATGACCTTAAGCCTTGCCTGTTTCATATGGTCAATGCCTTATTTTTTATTTGATAATGGTGGTTTAAAAAAATCTTTTTTACTTCAGTGTACTCGTGAGAGTGAGGCGCAAAAAGACCTGTTACAAATTTAAGGTAATCAAGTCTTTATCATGTTTAGCTATGACACATTTAAATGTAAATTAACCTTTTTGTATCCATTTTTAATTCGTCAAATCTGTACACGTTAAAAATTCGGCCAATAAATTCGAAAATCATTTATTTCAGTGTACATGTATACCCAAAATTTATTGTAAACGACAGCTACGATATATGGTGCAATTTCAGTTTTTGTCAAGAGATTACACATGAAATAGAATAAGATTTCTTTATAAAGTTTATGACATTTGATATATTATACATACATGAATTGATAACATAAATATGATCTATTTGCTGAACAAAATACGTTATTAGCATAGACTTTAATAGCAAATGACAATTTAAAGCTTATTTCTGGTCAGCTATCTATGGAAGATAATTTTTGCCAAAATTACATAAATCTACAATTTGCAATGTAAGAAAGCAGGATGAAATTGAAGCAGCGATTATATTCCAAAGTTATCCATAGTAGGGATCACCGTAGTACTGTCGCCATTTAATGTAGCATGTCCTATAAATTAGATATTGCACACTATGAACATAAAATTTTGCTGTCTCGCTTGAAGTTTTACTTTAGTTTTTGTTCATTTAAGATAAATAAAAAGGGGAAAGAAAAATTTAACCAGCAAATGAAGACACTTGAAAGCAATAAACGGATAAATTCCACTGACGTTGTTGATGATGGTGAACTCATAGAAGTTAATAGACGTAGTGAATATGCTGCTAACCATGGTGATGGTAATGGTGAAGAAAATAATTGTGATGACGGTAGAGTAATAAGTAGTGGCGATGATGCTGGTGGTTTTGAAAATATAAATGATCACGGTGATGAAGGAAATAATGGTGGTAAAGAAAATATTGGTTATAGTGATATTGGTGAGAAAGATGATAGCTTGGTAGTAGAAGACAATAATGTTTTTAGAGATACTGTTTGTGGTGATGGTGTAGAGGTAATTGATGATTGTTGTGGCGCAAACATTATTGATTGCACTGGGGAAGAAAATAATGCTACCGCTGGTGAATAGAACGTTAATAATAATAATAATGGTAAAGAGTAAATGATGTTTGTGTTTCAGATTTAGAAACATGGTGTAGATATTAAAGGCAATGAAGAAACATTGTTGGGATATGATTCTGAATGACGAAAAAAGCGTCGGTGAGAGATAAATGGCGATGCAGATGATAATGATGTCTATTTTGAAGGTGGAAAAGATGTTGTTGAAAAGAATGGCGCGAAGAAAAATGAAAATGCTAGTACCGCTTGTATTTTTGATGGAAGTCAAAGATTGTCATCCTTGAACATACACTTTGACACGTGTCGTGTGTGCCAATATTTATATGACAATACATTTTCCAACGAGAAAGTAAACTTAATATGCGAAAAGTGATAATCACGAACAGATATGAAGTGTGTTCGTTTAACTTTATCCGCCGCTTTAAAAGAAAAAAATCAAAATGACTTTAACTTCTGTGAATAATTGTCATTATACCTTATTACTTGTCAGAAAGAACGCTCATTATTTCGCTCATGTCCTCACAAATGCGTATGTACTCACATTTCAATTATCTGTATTAAACCAGTATTACTGTAAAATCATTATTATTCGTGGGGCACGAATTTTCGTGGTTTTCGTTGGTAGGTCAATCCACGAATTTAAGATCCGACGAACTTTTATCCGAACAAATACATTCATTGCCCAGTCTCTGTCCAATATATATTACAACATTTGCGTCGGCTCTTTTCCGGTCGATTAATTTCATGAATGAATGTAAAATAGAAAGCTAATTTCAGGTTAGTAACATAATTAAATCCGTTTACAATATTTAAGAAACTTGAAAGAAAACATCAATTTAATGTCCGTCAATTTACTGTCACAAATGTCGCATATACATACATACTTGATCGTTGTAGTTTTACTAGGACTTGATTGTGTTAACAAGAATTTTGACATCGAGTAATATGAGAGAGAACCCAGGCAGTGCAAATATTAGCGCTAAACTCAAAATTGCCCGTTTGCCTCTTTATTTATTTAAAAAAAGTTCTTTGACATTAATGTCCGAAAGTACCAAAAACTAATAAAAAAACGATCGCATAAAACAGATTTATTGTTACATTTTTTGTCGTTTTAAATGATCCAGTCTATAAGAATTTTAATCTGTATTTGTGCGAATGCTATTCCGTAAACATCAAAGACGCCACTAGGCCAGTCATAATAGAAATTAAGGTAAAACTAATTCCTTCACAAATGTTTTCACGATCAAATAAAAGATAAACATTATCTACATTTTGAGAAAAAAGTCTTCAAAATATCTCCTTGCAGAATCCTGAAAAATCGATCATAAAGATTTTAGTAAAAATCGATATTTAAATGTGTCTCTTAAATTACACCATACGTTTAATTTATATGCACGTTCGGTGACGTCACGTTTTATTATATTTTCGTTCGTTGAAAGGTCTGAAGTAACTTCAATTCCAGCATTCCTAGTGCAAAGGTGAGTAATTTTAGTCATTTTATATTCTTCTGTATAAATTAGGGAAAAATCTGTCAGGTAGATAGATTTAATTGACCACCAATCAATCGATTATGCAGATGACAAAATGTGTCATATAATTTTTCGCGATTTTAAACACAATTTTTGAATGAAGTAATCATATAAAAGAGAGTTTATCTTTTACTCACTGTCCTACATTGTTTCCTTTTGTACAATTATCTAAAATGACACAGAATTAACCACACATCTTACTGAGTATTTAAAAAAAATGTGTATGCACTAGTTTATGTAATTTTTTCTTTCTACGGAAGCGTGTTGTGACCAAAATCACGAAAATCTAGGGATATTTTTTAAAATGTTAAATTTGACTTATTTCAAATAGTTGCATGTTTTATGAATTTGTGGAAATCCTAATTAAAACAAATAATATGTTAACTTGATGTAAACAAACGTATTTTGTAATACATAATGCATTTCTAAGCGAATTGATAATATTCCAGCATGTTATATGAAAAATAGACAGCATATCCAATAGGGTGTAATCAAGCTAAAACTATTACCTATTAATGAGGAAGTTGTTACTGGAACTTTATACATAACTTTTACTTCTTAACAGAAGACATGGATTTAAAACCCAAATTATTATGCCAATTATTTAATTTTTTTCGTAGGCTCAATCATATAATATGCATCTGAGAGTATGTGGTTATAGCGAATCAAAAGTTAATTGAGCATATTCACTTGAAATATTGTAAAATAATTTTAAATGTTAGAGCCAATACAAGCAATGTTCTTATATACGGCGAACTCGGGCGTTACCCATTATATATAAATCGATACGTAAGAATAATTAAGTTTTGGTGCAAATTGATAAATACTGACAATATAATTTTACGGAAAACATATCAATTAAGTTTATCTGATTGCTATAAAGGTAAAAAACTGGATATCAAATGTTAAAGAAATGCTAGATATACCGGTATATGGTTTATCCGAATACTTTTTTGAAAATAATATTGTAGATAGCAAATTATTTCCAAAAATATTTAAACAAGAGTTATTGATAATCATATACAAATATGGCATTCATCTGTAGAAAATAATTCTGTTTTTACAACTTTGTGTAGCTTGATAATCTACCCTCATCATTACCAGTGCCAGTTGTATGTATATTTTAAGTAATGTTTTCCATGTTGTTGTCAGCATTTATAGAACAGTTGTTGTATTGTTGTATAATTAGTTAGAAGATGGACAGACACGTGACTTCTACACAAGGGGTAATGGGATGTGAGAGAAAAATGGCTTTTTACGTAGATATATCTTATTGAATGAATGAAAACAAAACAATTGGGTGTCTTTCAGGTTTGTTAATACAACAGAAATTGATATATCAACACAAATTTACATCATTGTTTTACAGCATGATTATAATAAAGGCACATACAGTTTGCTCATACCAACATTTTCTCAGGCGTTTCCCTATTATATCATTTCAATACTATTTTTTTAAATATCTTTTTGATATTGTTTTATGGACTTTATATATCTTATTTTCAGAGGAAGGGCTTAACATAGTATGGGGTATGGTTGATTGCAGAAGACAATATTTAGTGAGAGTCCAGCCTTTTATATTTTGGCGAACATAAATCAATCCGTTGATTGGATGTGACAAGAATTTTCCATATTTCCAAGTTAGGAGAGGCTAAATGGGTTCTGTTTGAAAAGATCCAGCATATTTGAAAAGCAATTAACAGGTAAATCAAAGAAAAACCCTCTATATTTTTAATACACAGTTGGTGTACCAGATTAAATTTTGTGTGCTACTGCATATATAACTTTTCTAAAGGGAATTCAGTTTTCTTACATTCTCGGAATTACTAAGATCAGAGATTTGTTTGTTTGTTTTTATGTCACATCAACACTTTACAGGTCATATAATAACTTTCAATCTTTACTGGTGAAGGAAAAAGTGTGACATATGATAGGTATTATTTTTAGCGCGTAGAACCACCAATATTCTATAAGTTAGTTTGGGATAGCTATGTCAGATAATAGACTCCAAAACCCAGGCAGGACTCGAACCTTCACCCTTCATCGTTAACACCGTAAGAAGCAAGTGTTTTGAAGTCAGTGACCTTAAACACTCGACCAAAACTTCCAATTTAGTTATCTGTATGAAAGTATAGGTGCTGTTTTGTTCAGTATTTCCTACTTATATGGTACATTATGATGTTTCACAGTCAGTGCTTCTTTCAGCCGATAGGCAATTTACACGCTTTAAATTTGTTATAACAATATAACATGAAACATATTTTCTAAAGAAGAAAGCTGAGGCCCGTTTTTGCTGAGGCTTAACGTGCCTCATTAATGTATGAATTATTTGTAGATAATTCAATATAAAAATATAAATCTAAAAGCACAATCCTATCTTGCTTGTCATAGTACCTACATTTTCAGTTTGACATACAATTGTTTTATTTTAAAAGCAGAATGTAAAGTTCGCATTTTTATTTATCATATTATTTTGTAACAATTTTACAGATGCGGAACAATGTGTCTCTGTGAAAAGGGTATAAGCTAAAGGTTTCAACAGCACCGGCCGAAAAAGTGGAGATATAATTTCAGCATTGAACAAGGGCAGGGCAATATGTATATATACATGTGTAGCGTTGTGAGACTATATATGGATAGTCGGGCCTCGGTGACAAAAATGATGAAATAACATTGTGTTTTTTCAGTGTCTTAACATTCAGAAGATTCATTTTATTTTAAAATGTCTTTTTACAATATTTTTTTTAACAAAACTTCCATGGTTAAGTAAGTGCAATTTAGCATTGGTAAGATATTCACTTGAAGGGTTGATTTTCAGAACAGAAATGCAAATACAATGTATATAAATAATAATTATATGTGTAAAATGTATTGCAATTTTGAATTATAATATGAATTTAGATAGATTAATACAACTTTATTCTTGGTAGAGCTAACTTGTAAGAATATTTAATGGAATCTGACTAAAAGTAAAAAAAAAAAATTATCATTAGTGGGTGGGGTAATGTTTTATACCAGTCTAAATGATGATGTATAGATTATGCAGTGTTGCGACTTTTTGAATGTAATCAACATTGGTTGAAGCGTTTTGGATTAAATAAAGTATGTTTGTGTATAAATGTGTTACTTTGTTAATGATCATATTTGCGTAGAATATCTGGGTTATTTAATTTCACAGATTTTTCTAATTGAAAACACATGATTTCAAAACATGACATTTTTAGCATTTTATACTTCGAATTTTTTTGAGGACTTTTTTCCTGTAGCAACACATATATAGTAGATAACAAATATGCAACTATCTTTTCTGAAGGAATTTGTTTGAGGTTGGGTCTTTTTTTTGGCTAAAATGCCTAGCCTACACCGCTTTTTACAAGATCCACATACTGTACCGAGATTAATTTATATGCATGTAAATTTACACAGTCGCTGTGACGTTGCGTGTAGTTACTGTCAAATATGTTAAGACCAATTCAGTGTGTAAATTTTTAAACTCGCTGGTTAAAACCTGTCAGGTGTCGTATAAATTATGCGATGTTTACATCGGCGAATAACATGGGCAGTGGAGGTGCATATCATGTCACATAAATGTGTTAATTGCAGTCAATTATCGGCAGTAACTGTGCTATATTAGAGTTATGCCCAGAGGCAAGGATTAAATTTATTGACAAGCGCTGTGTGACAAGTAAAGATATGTACATGTTGTAAGTAAAAATGTTCGGCGATTAAGTTTAAGATTACTTTGCATTAGGTTACTGATTTTTTTAACAAGAAAACGAAAATCAACGAATTTAAGAAACCACGAAAATGCCTTTTTTGATAAAACCACGAAATTTCAAGCCCACGAATATAAGTGAATTCGCAGTATGTAATCATCAACCGTGAATTTACAACTTAGTGAAATATGAATTCACTATGGATGAAAAAAAAAAAACAACAAGTGTATTTATTACGATAATTTTGTATTTAATACATACACAAGAATATTCATGTTTCCATGCATGGTTACTGAGCATTGATATAATAAGGAGCGGCGTTCACGATAATTCGAAAAGTTAAAATGCTGTTTGCATATGTCATCATGAAATTTTGACAAGTTTATAATGTCGTTTGCACATGTCATCATGAAATTTTGACAAGTTAACATGTCGTTTGCACAAGTCATCATGATACTTCGACAAGTTAACACGTTGTCTGCACATGTCATCATGGTACTTTGACAAGTTAACATGTTGTCTACACATGTCATCATGATTATTTGACAAGTTTACATGCTGTTTGAACAAGTCAGTATGATATTTTGACAATATATGATGTAAATTGCGCATGTTAACATGCTTAAACGACAAAATAGATTCCTTATTTCACAAGATAGCAAAAACATTGATCGGATAAGACAGTCACTGCGTTCCATAATTGATTTTGCCCGATGATCTTCCTTATTTGTATTAGGGTAGTAAATGACTTGTGTTATATTATAACATAAATCGTAAGGATTTTAATTTCCCTTTCTTGTTTAATTGCCAATACCGTCATTATCATCATCATCAGCATCATCCTCATCATCTGCTTCTACATCATCATCACTATTCTTATCAGATGATCCAGTGTCTGTATTATTCTCATTTTCAATATCTCCAGATCCTATTGAGTCAGTCACATCAGATTCACGTTCACCAAAATCATCTATTATTTCTTCTTTACCAATATCATCTATTATTTCTTCTTTACCAATATCCTCTATTATTTCTTCTTTATCAATATCATCTATTATTTCTTCTTTATCAATATCATCTATTATTTCTTTTTTACCAATATCATCTATTATTTCTTCTTTATCAAAAGTGTCTGATTTGTTTTCGATTCTGCCATTGTCGTTGGTTTCAAAACCTTTCTTTGGTTCATATTGTTCAGGTCGCTCAAATTGGTAATCCATTTCATTAATGTCCGATAAATTTGTTGTCGTATCTTTCGTTTTATCATCAACAGTTTCTTCAACAAAGCTTGTTTCATCAAGCGTCTCCATTCCGCCGTGTGTATTTACCACTTCATATGTATGTATTCCGCTAACTGAATCGGTTTCAATCAGGTCTTCGTACTTGTCTTGTTCAATTTCCACATCAGCAGCAATGACTTTCACTTTGTCTGGACCTCCATCAAAAATATCAATGCCTATTTCACTAACGCGGGCGGTTATTACTTGCGTTTTGTCAGATATAATACATATCTGTTCACTTTTTGAGTAATAAGGATTTTCAAATGTATGATCTTCCGAATGCTGTTTGCATAACTTATGCCGGTCACTTCTTTTCCTAAAGCTTGATGGTATCTTCCATTTGATGGCCTATATAAAAAAGGAAAGAATAACTATAAAATATGTACATATATTGTTATCATGCAATAATTTTGAAATAGCAAGATACAGAATAATGATTTGTCGGACATGTCTGAAGATTTCAGAGGTCATTTAATTTATTTCAAAAAGGTTTCAGCAAACGATTGAATTACAAGAATACATGAATTAATAAACATACATATCTAGCATAAACATATTTGAGCCGCGTCATGACAAAACCAACATAATGGGTTTGCGACCAGCATCGATCCAGACCAGCCCGTGCATCCACCCAGTCTGATCAGGATGCATGCTGTTCGCTTACAAAGCCTATAACAAGTAGAGAAACTAATAGCGAACAGCATGGATCCTGATCAGACTGCGCGGATGTGATAATTTGATGTAAATTCATATGATTTTGTACATTGGAGGACGAACTTGTGTGGATGTAGGAAACAAAAGAGATATATTTGAATGAATAAAGGGCATTTTCATTAGCCTTTTACCTACACGTGTGAATATACATGTATATCATTTTTTGTGAAGTTTATAGCTTCTAGTTTTGTTTTGTTATTGTCGTTTTTTACGGTCTGTTTTAAGAGAATACTGTTTTACTGCGTTTAAAGTGGAAGATTTAAATGATTACTCAACGCCTGAAGTACGGCAGTAAATCATTTATATCAATAATATCAATGTAGAATTTGAAGATTAGGTTTCAGTCTAAGCGAGATTATTATAATGAAAGAGTAACCAGTAATGAATTCCGTGAATTACGTGCGGCTTATCTGTTAAAGTTGCTGACTCAATATAGCCGTGTTTTTTTGTTGTTGTTTTTTGTATTTTTTTGTTGTTGTTGCTGCTGGTTGTTTTTCTATTCCGGCAAAGAAATCACGATTGTAGAAACGCTATGGTACGATAATGAGTGACGCAAGGACACGAGGTGAACCATGTGATGCTGGTTAAACGCGGTGTTACGATGGTGAAAACGCGGTGTAACGATGGTGAAAACGCGTAGGTACAATGGTGAAAACGCGGTGTTACGAGGTGAAAACGCGGTGGTACAATGGTGAAAACGCAGTGGAACGATGGTGAAAACGCGGTGGAACGATGGTGAAAACGCGGTTGTAGTACAATGGTGAAAACGCGGTGGTACAATGGTGAAAACGCGGTGGAACGATGGTGAAAACGCGGTGGTACGATGGTGAAAACGCGGTTGTACGATGGTGAAAACGCGGCGATACGATGATGAAAACGCGGTGGTACGATGGTGAAAACGCGGTAATACGATGGTGAAAACGCGGCGGTACGATGGTTAAAACGCGGTGGTACGATGATGAAAACGCGGTGGTACGATGCACGATAGCGAAATCGCGATGTCACCATGATAAAAAATACAAGATAGTACAGTGAAGTAATGACAGAACGACTAATAAACGTTAGTGAACGTGATGTTACGTACGATGGTGAAAACGTGATGTTACGATGGTGAAAATACGATAGCACGATAGTGAAATCACAATGACCCGATTGTGAACGTGATAGTACGATGGTGGGATATAAAGATCTTACACGGGTTAAGGTAAACGAGACCGGCGGTAACAAGGCTGTGCTGACTTTCCGCAAAACAGTTACCGAAGGGCTAGATATTCCTATAGACCTGTTGCGACAGTCGGTGTTGGATTCTTTTTCTTGCATATTATAATTATATTAATCATTATTCGGAACTGTCATTTTCATAAAGCACTTAATTCTTATAGTGGCGTATGAATTTACAATTTCATTCATAGATAGTGTCATTTTAATAACACAATTTATTCATAGACGGTCAAGAATGACATAATTTAAAGCACAGGCTTGTCACGCACACATTGCGGTTGTAAGTCACCGATGAAAGCAGATATGCAAGAAATGCGGTATCACATCCCGTTTCTGCCATCATGTCATCGTATCATTACCATCTGTATTTATTTCATCATACCATCGCGGTGTCACCATCGCAGACAAGGGTAGAATAAAAAAGGAGGGAATACACAGTTCCGGTTTGTTAGATTCGAACATGCAATAGTCAAATTGTGTTCTAGATATTGTTATATACATGTATGTTTTGTTAGTTTTGTGATGCGGTCAGTTTTTTTTCCGAGAAGCCTTGAAATATGTGCACTGCCTCCAAATTATTGATGGTCCAAATGGAACACCCTACCAATGTAATAATAACGATGTCTTGCTTTAGTCCGATGTGATTAAAGCCGGAACAAAATACATAGATGAAAAACTCACCAGGCATCTACGATAACATTTGAACTTCCAGATCAAGCTGAAAAGATAAATAAAAAGATATATGTCTATACCTTTTCAAACATCCTTGTTGATGTAAGCGATGCTTCTTTATTCAGATACGGAAGAAAATTTTAAATATAATGTATGTAATCATCAACCGTGATTTTACAACTTAGTGAAATATGAATTCACTGTGGATGAAAAAAAAACAACAAGTGTATTTATTACGATAATTTTGTATTTAATACATACACAAGAATATTCATGTTACCATGCATGGTTACTGAGCATTGATATAATAAGGAGCGGCGTTCACGATAATTCGAAAAGTTAAAATGCTGTTTGCACATGTCATCATGAAATTTTGACAAGTTTATAATGTCGTTTGCACATGTCATCATGAAATTCTGACAAGTTAACATGTCGTTTGCACAAGTCATCATGATACTTCGACAAGTTAACACGTTGTCTGCACATGTCATCATGGTACTTTGACAAGTTAACATGTTGTCTACACATGTCATCATGATTATTTGACAAGTTTACATGCTGTTTGAACAAGTCAGTATGATATTTTGACAATATATGATGTAAATTGCGCATGTTAACATGCTTAAACGACAAAATAGATTCCTTATTTCACAAGATAGCAAAAACATAGATCACATAAGACAGTCACGGCGTTCCATAATTGATTTTGCCCGATGATCTTCCTTATTTGTATTAGGGTAGTAAATGACTTGTGTTATATTATAACATAAATCGTAAGGATTTTAATTTCCCTTTCTTGTCTTATAAAAATGATAGTAAGCCTCAATTTGACCATGAATAAAAATATCTTGGCATCTTAAATGCTTTATTATTTCATATTTAATTAAGCATGTAGCATTTCTCGCAGACACCTGGTATGTGAAGCTCAAAACGCCTTGAAATTCAAATAAAATATGTAGTTGTCAATCCCACCACTCTTATACTTATCATATATATCAATTAAACATACGCTTTTTAGTGAGGAAAAGAAAAACACATATTTCAACGTCTTTCTGGAGCTTCACTACCCCAAGCGGCTGCGGAATTTTCACGAAGAAACCTTGATTAAATATATCATGTGAGACAAGAGTTTCATTTTGAAAATTCTACATTCAATTTACTATCTAATCATTTCATCTCTTTTTTCTTTATTCATTCAAAATAAGATATTAGCCTATCGTGTTTTAGAATTATTATTTAGACATGCTTAATTTATTTTAAGTTTCCACCTGAATTTTAAGATTCACTTATACTCGGGATCGTTTCTTGATGTTACTGAATCTAAAAACGCAAATGACAATATTGTAAGTACTGATATAATCTGAAACCAATAAATATACACTTGTGTTTAGATTATCCTTTATCATGTAATATTGGTATCCCGTTCAGTCTAGCAAAACGTTATAGACGTGTCATTTCCGATGACAACACTTTGAAGCAGTCTTTAAATACGTCAAAAAGATATTTTTCTGATGCAAACTATCCTAAATCATTTAACGTTAAGACGTGTTAAATGTAAGCGTTACAGTACACTAAATTTTAAGGCGCGTCAATGAAAATTGATTCTTTTTCACTTTCAACAGTCTTTATTTCGTGTATGTGGTGAATAGAATAGTACCAATTTTGCGATTCCGTAGAAATAGTATTGCACTATCGTGCGTATATTTTTACGTGACGTCAAATATCAGTCAAGCACAGTGTTAAGATATGCTTAATCTATAGGCGCTTCAATAAAAAAAATGTTTCTTTTTCACTTTAAACAGTCTAAATTTTTTGGTATGTAATAAATGGAATAATATATTCGTTACTGAATTTATAGTATTCGTTGTATAGAATAATATTAATACTGATTGTTCAAGTTTGATCGAAATTGGCTTGTTTGTTTTCTTTTCATTTGACATTCTAGTTAATACATGTTCAGGTTTTGTTTTGAATTCGTTACTTCCTTATTGTAAAGTGTTATTACAAATCCAATTTCGACTTCATAGCAATGTGTAAAATAAAAGTATAGAGTGATATTGGGGATTTGGTTACAGGGGGGTAGGGATAGTTTCGGGTACCCTTAAAAACCTTTTAACCGAAGACTATTTAGTCGGTTCTGTCCTTCACATTAAGCATCGGCGAGAGGTACCGAAAGGGGATGAGAGAAAATGTGCACCCTAACGGGACCCTCGGAATACCATACCGTGTCTATGCCCGCCTCTTACGCACTCTCTTCCCTAATTAGTGAACATTTCTGAACCGTGACGTAACGATAAAAGACAAAATTTGTAAATCTACCCGTTAGTATTAAATCTGTTACATCGGTCTGCTAATAAGGCCAAACTGCATGTACGAGTATATACAAATGTAGGTACAAAAAAATTTCAGTATTATTTTTAATAAAACCTGTGCACTTACACGATGGCAGTTGCTACAGCAACAAGCAGCAGCACAATTAGAATTATGCAGACGACATTACATGTTGATCCTGCAGTTAATATTTGTTCGGTTGTAATACCAGGTGGTGTTGTTGTTGATGATGATGATGTTGTTGATGATGATGGTTGCACTGTTGTTGTTGTTGTTGTTGATGGTGGTACTGTTGTTGTTGTTGTTGTTATTGTTGATGGTGGCATTGTTGTCTGTGGTGGCACTGTTGTCTGTGGATTACAAATTTCGTTGATGGCCTTTGTCGAGTTTTCCGTCCAAAACCTGTTCATGCACCTTGTTGCGATTTCACATACCTTAGTTCTAGACAGATTTTGGTTTAACGCATAGTCGCCAAATTCACTATAAAAGAAAGGAGGTGGACACGGAGCTTTGACCAACAGGCAAGCGTTTGCAATAGATCCATCTCTGCAATACATAATGTATAATCCAAATAAATTATTTTGAATATGAAAAGCGTAGATGTAGCGTTAACATCAGAAGTAGTTTTAAGTGTGATAAACCTAGTTTTAAAATACTCGTTTTAATGTCTGGATCTCTTAAAACGATAAAGCATAAGGAAATTAAATTTCAATGGGTATATATAGTGAAGAGTTTACATTTAAACCTAGAAATTAAAGTGGTTGAAAGTGAAACTAACAAATTAGCAGTCTTAAATATTGTCATTTAGTGCGTAAAAGGTCGACGTCACCTTACTTTTTGCAGAACTGACGTACTTTTTTGTGTGGAAAGGGTACAACATATAGTGGTTTTATATAAATATCCCCCTAACCCTAGAACATCATGAATTTTCAATTCAATGTTACAAATTAAGCTATTCATTATTATAGTGCTACATGTATGTTATTTTTATATCTAACATCTGCTGGCGTATGATATGATAAATATTATTACATAATTTAAGTAAAAAATATATGTATTTGCCGAGCGTTAATCGCCGGAAGTAATGTCATATTGACAAGTACAATATATTATTTTTGCATTATTGATATCATTGTGCGAATTTAGAGTCCAGCAGCTGTTGATAATTTGTTGAAGAATAATTGTTTATTGACGCGCCTATAAAAGCAACAATTAAGTGACATCACAACATTTTTCCCAATATTAGATCGAGTAGTAAAAGAATAGACACAATTGTATTCCATACATCAAAGATGCCAGGACTTTGGACGTTTACCGCATTTGTTATTGCGTGCCAAATATTTATAACAAGTTGTTCCACGGACAGGTCTAAGAATAAAGATCGAGGTATGCCACTTTCGCTTTCTTAAGAGCGTTATTATTTTTCTGATAGTAAAAAATGCGTGCAATAACAGTAATTGTTTCAACGACGTATACTCGTTTTAAAATTACACGGAAATTTGCAGTATTTAAGTTTTTAGGACTTATACTGTATTATTGAAGTCCCCACACCTCGGATTTACTGCCAGTGAGACGAGTACATGTATAGCACTAAAATTCTTTTACAGAGAGATTCGTTTGCATTCCATCAAACAAGTTAGTTGAAATTTATATATATCAAACGTTTCTGAATCTTAAATCATGGGTCATTGAAACCCCGGCACACGACTCTATATACAATAAGCCTTGATATTTCCCCTGTCTATAGTCTAGCATATTTTAAAGCAGCACACCTCCACATGATTCTTATTTTCATGAAAATTTTGAAAAATGTATTTAAAAGTAAAATATTGTTAAGTAGCCAAAAGAAAGCAATTACGCATTAGACATTACGCAGGGAACTAAGAACCCACGTAAATTAACAAAACGAGGTAAAAAATATTAAAAATAACCTTCACTGCGTTAGTAACGCAGTAGAAATATGTTTATAAATGAATTATTACTTAAATCTTGCATCTTTTTACTTTTCCTAAAAACTTAGTGCATTTTTCTAAGGGTTTGTTTTTATTGAAATATTTTGGGTCATCTGGAGGCATGCAACTTTAACGCAACAATTGCATTGACAGGCAGTCTCCGCTGCTTGTCCACGCATCTCCTTGATGTTTCAGATACTTCAACTGATACATGTATATAATCTTAAACTATATTTCCATCATCGTAAGAAAGTTTTTTTCCTTCTTTACATTATTAAATGGTGTATATACATGTACTACATTCATAACACGTTAAAATTCCATTAAAATCATAAAACCTTTTAAGGCTCCACAACTCCACTTCATGAGAAGAGTTTCCCTTTATAAGACCTGGCTTATTTACAGTTAGGCTTGACTTAACTTCCTTCTATTTCAGTATGCATTAAAAAGTTCGTCCTTCAGAAGGTTTGTTTTACGGGAGATATGAGCAAGGACTCGGAGAATGTGTATTCCTTCAAAGCGATACCGACCGTGGAAAAAATGACAATTTTTGGACAAAGACAATCTGCAAAAAGTTAATTCTAAGCATCAATGAAAAACAACACTGAAATTAAGGAAATAAATTCTACATTCTAAAGTAGTATAGTCATTTGTTTTAGTGTTAAGTACGTCCTTTAGTTTTTTACAAACACTCGAGATCTTATAGCTTGTCACGTGATCAATTTTTGTCAATTACCCTAACCTGGTAATTTACGTCTCAGCCCGGACGCTTAGAAATACTGATTTCGTAGCAAACGGGACTAAAGAGACACGGCCATATATAGATTGATTAATTGTTGTTTTTTAGCCCAGTTTTTCAGTCCGTTACCGGCGAAATGTAAGTTAATAATTCCAATTATATCCCGCAATATGAAAGAATTTAAGTGTATGGCGACATATATTTCTGCTAACAGTTGACCACTTAATTGCCACATTAATTATCTAACTGGTTGTAATTTTCTTGTTAATTAATAAGATAAATAAATTTGTTAATTAGATATATATTTTCTGTTGAATATGCAATATTTTATCTAAAAAAAAGTTTTGTGTAAGCTATTCACTTATGTATACCAGATAATTGTCTTAATCATCAAAAACATGTACATTTTCAGTGACCACACATTTTAAGGGTTATCAAAAAATATTTTGTATCCTGTTAAATATGAGATATTTATTTATCTATACATGTATTTTATTCTGTGTGCGAGTTAGTAAGATAAGTAACAGATAATAATGTGTATAACAAGTTACAAGATACGGGGGTATACTTCGGACATATCCCTTGCAGGGACTTGCAAGTTACCGAACCTCTAAGGATGAAGCATTGAACATTGGCTCATTAAATCCTTACCATGATCATTATCTTAAAGGAACACCACTGAGGTCACAAAGGCTAAAATTATCAAATTTGACATTCTTTCATCAATCGAAAATAGATAATATATATATTCGTTTTTCGGGTCGATTTGCACGTGCTAATTTTACATGTATGTATTATAAGTTTTCTAATCTTGCAACTGCAATGTGCAAATTTTCATACAAGGAAACAACCCAGCAAAACAGGACACTATTATAATAGAAAAAAATACATCCTAGTCCTACGCAAAATATAAAAGTATAAGATAAATATTTGGACAATATGGTATATAAACATCGACTATAAGATTTCTATATTTCACTATTTAAACAGGTTTGAAGTTAAGGAAGTTTGAATTGTACATATTATGTTATACATGTATATTATTCCTGTCATGAACTGGGTATTCATGGTTTATTCAGCCTTCATATATACACAACAAGGAAGTGGTGTAATCCGTAGATTTTAACCTTTAAAACTGCACTTTTTCGGTTTACCTTTTTTATAGTATTTGATTTATTTTTAGAGATTGGGTATGGGGGTAGTTATTTGCTTTTTATCCAAGCCGGATTTTAAGCACCTTTGACACATGTTAGTTTAAAGTTTGAACAATTGTAAAGAAAAACTTTGAAGTTAATTCCAACCTTCAAGTTCTCCTCTTCATGGACCACACTAGAGCCGGTTGTAATCGTCATTCAAGGACTCGATCCATGACGTGTTATCACAAGACCACGGCTCCCTTGAACTGCACACATTCACAAGAACTTTAACAGTTACTAGTGTCTTTTTGTTAACCTTGTAGCTGATCCCCACCGGCCCCTACAAAGTTCCAGCCAACGGCTAGCGTCAGCAACCTAATCCACTCGGCCACAATGGTCCATGGCATTGACATTAATAAAATCCCTCAATTCACACATTAACATATTTTTATCTGACCATTATGTGTGACCTTGGCTGCAGGGACCCGAGTTGCGCGACACCATAGCATCTCACATGTATAAACTTTTTTTGCCAAGTTATATTCGTCAATGCATGTTCCAGTTTTAGTCTTGACCTCTTTGACCTAAGTGCGCCAATGTCTCATAGTTGTGAACATTTCAAGTAATAATCCCGGCATGGTTGTAGAAGATATGCTGTGACTTCCTGTATGCTCTGGCATAGGAAATCAAATTATATTCTTAAACAAGAGTGCCATGATGTTCCTGAATCGCTCACCAGGAACAACTGTGTTTTAGTGTTAGATGAACTCGCCTAGACAAGTCCAGCTCAACTTCAACTTGAGTTTCCCCGACACAGATTGTTTTTTCTCTCTTTTTTTTTCATGATAAAAAATGGACCTTAATACATGGCCCAACGTACATTGTTACTGTTCATCTGGAAAGTAAAGCATGTCAACTTACGCTACTATATTGTTTCTATTTTCAGCTCTATCGGTCCCTAAATCAAATTAATATATGCAAATTTTAGAACTAGAAAAAAACTACCTAAAAAATAAGGTGATCATCCATCAATTAGTTCAGTAGAAGATGATCTAAGCATCCCCCTTTGGTACTAATAGCTCACCCTGAACCTTCGGTTCTGGTGAGCTAAAAATAACTGTATAAAAATTCCACAGTACACAAAAAGTGTTACAGCTTGAGGACAGAAGTCATTCCTGTAATGTTTTGCGGCAGTTTAGTTAATGATCCTGTATGTTTTGTGATTGATATTTTTACTGTGTGAATACCACACTAGCAAAAAATTATATATGTACATATTTATGCAAATAAAACAATTTTCAAACATCGAAGAATATGTAAAATGTGTACTGCAAATATTTGTGCACATTATATTTAATCAATAAATTACAGGCATTCATTTCTTATTAGAAAATTTGACTTAGAATTTATAGAAAATAAATTTCTAATTACCTCCCTTTATTTACATGAAATGTTAAATTGGGTAATATCTTTATAAATAATGCTTATTGGAACTTACAATATTGACAAATCTTAATTTGAGCATCATATTTATGAAATAAAACCATGAAAAAATTGTGTTACAGGATCTTTAATGATCCTTTCGACCACAGTTACCCAATGAAAGAAAACGTAAGGTTCATTGTTCTTGTTTTTTTAGTGTCAATTTAATTTCGTATTATAATATGTCTTATAACATAATACACACAAAGTTTAAGCACAGATCCTTCAATATAATGAATTAAGTTTGAAATAAATACACACATATACATGCTTTCTTGTTTTACAATAAAAACTTTCACTGTTCACAGGAGAAAAAAAACAACCTAAATATTCGCCACATAAACAGCATGAATCCTTAATAGTCCCTTGTAAGGCAACAGTTTTACATGTAACTATTATATTAGATGTGTTTACCCGCAAAACTGCAGCGACTTACAATACACTCAATATTACACCAAACCCTTAATCAATAGGTTTCCCCACAAATTATGTTTAAACCTTTATTGATGGGCTTTCACGGTGTACAATTACAATTCACATGAACCTAAACTAAAACCATGGTGATAATAAACATGCATGATAAAATTATGTTTTTGCAGTGACAAAACAAATTGTTTTCAATTTACAATCTAACAACAAAAATGTTTCTACTTGCAAAGCAGCTACCAAAATAAATGATATCAAACAAACAAAAAAACAACAGCTAATTTGTATTAAAAATGAAAAATCACAGTAACTATACAACGGTCCATAAATTTACTGAAGTTAAGTTGTTAACACATGATTAATAAACAATGGGCAGTAATTCTCTGTCAACATATCCAATTTTAAGTAGGTCCTATCATGAAAGCTTACTTCATAGTAACATAATATTCAATAATTTTCAACACTAAAGGTATTTAAATGACAGTCTCTACAAACTATATGTTAACTGTGACCAGAACTAACACAAGTCCTTAGTCCAAGGTTACAAATTTGTTCGCAGCTTAAACTCAGAACTCAGGTATTTTATTGAGTAGAAACTGACACAGAATGTACATTGACCAATGAAAATCCTGTAAAAAAAATCTTAAAATTCATTACCCAAGGGCCAGTTGCCCAAATTTGGGTCAGACCCCTTATACCTGGGTGAAAGGGAACATCTTGGGCTTTTTATAAGCTCTTTTTCAGCTCCATAGTGAAGATACCTTGAAATTTTCAAAAAAATAAATAAAATCAGCTGATCGGGTCCTTATTAAACTTTTTTTTCTGTCAACAAGCTTTGAACATCAGTCTTTAAATTATCAGGTACTGAAGACAATAAACCAAACACAAATTCACATATAAACTATATAATTATAGTACATAGAATTTACAAAAAGAGATGTAAATTCGTTATATATACAATTGAATCTTTTTAACTAATTAAAAATATTACCCATAATCTTTGAAGACTTACTAAAACACTGTTCTGTCATTTAAGAAAATAAATATAAGTGAAACAGTAACCTGCCCTACAATGTGTCTAAGCATTCATAACAAATGAAACCAAAGCAAACAAATACAAAACAAACAAAAAAAATAACAAAAACTATTTTGGACTACAATTCTGAGTAATGTGTTTTAACAACAAATAACTTTATAAGTGTAAGTATATATGTGGAGGTCAGTTAAACAACATAATGATAAAACAAAGTTATGACCAATCCAATTATGATTTGTTAAAAAAAACTGCTTTACATCTAAATATGCATTAATATGGCCAACAATGATTTGGGTTTTAATTACACATGGTGAATAAACAACAGGTTTAGTTAAACAGAAAAAAAATATTCAAAAAAGTAAAAATTATTTTAAACCCTAATAAGATTTCTATCCACAAATATTTATGATTAACATGCTTCAAGTTGTATATCTTAAACTCACTTTAGTTTGTGTTCAGTCCAAACCATTCATTTTAATTAAAAAATTCTTATATGAAACAATAACCAAATTATATTTTACTATGATTGAGGTACCTTTATTATGCTTATCTTGACTGATTTTTTTAGTTGAACACATTATCCAGGCACTTTAAAACTGATAACGTATATTTTAGCTCTTGACTGTAGAAAAAAAATCAAATTGTCAAAAGCTTAAGAAAAGTTTTTGTTTTCATTGAACTGATTATATTTATTATAACTCAGACTGTAGAAAAGTTTTGATTCAGTGCAATCTCTTTGGATAGCATTTGAGGATTCAGAGACACACAGCTTAAACCAATGCTCTACTCTCTCAAGTATTAACAATTTTAAACATGTTTCAAACTTTACAAGTTACAAATTGTGAGTAAGGGCGTTAGTCCAGAATATAAACAATACATGTATACAAAAACTACTGTATAATAATAATATAAATGTTTGAAATGATGCACTGAACTGCATGTAAACATACAAAATAAAATGTCAGGATGTTTATTGCGTATTTAGCACTAAGTCAATACAATCATTCCCAATAAGACACCTCACCTGATCCACTGATATAATATGGGGAAATAAAAATTATTTTATGTTTCACAAACATAACATACATACATACAGATTAATTTCATCTAACTTATATCAATCTATTTCAAGTTCACTTCCCAGACTAACTGGCACTGATGTTGATAAGCTTAGTAACCATTAAACCTCAAATTATCTGGTTGACAAGAAAAACACTATGCCCCCATACCTGTCTTTATTATCTAGAAAGCTATATATTATATACAATGTTTGGGAAACAAAGTACTTTTGAAAGTCAATTTACATAGATTTTCTACATTTTCAAGAGCAGACACTACAACATTTCACAGCAATGTGTTTCTATTAAAAATATCTGGCAACACTTAGTTTTCATCAAATTTTGGAAACATCAATAGAGAGTAAAAATAATCTTGAAGTTTTCATTAATATTGTTTTAAAAACTGCCCTCATGATCAGATATAAAAGGCATTCTTTAACTGACTTTGGTCTGGTAAGAGAAGATAATTAAAAGCTTTTCATTAATGATGAACTTCAAAGAAAAAATAAGGAGTGGAAAAAAACTTTTCTAAATGGCAGATTTTGCAAATCTAAAATAAATAGTTTCAAAAACTAGCAATTTTATATCCACACCAGTGACTTGTTTATGATATCATTATTCACTGAATGACAGATGGAAAAAAATCCTAATGACAGATGGAATAAACAATCTCAAACAAACTACTATGAGTGACGATGATAACAGTTACTCCCCTTGTAGTGATAAGGGGAGATCACTGCATAGGAGATTGAATTGAAGATGTTAACAGTTACTCCCCTTGTACTGTGCTAACAGAATCTCCCAATTAAAATTCAGTAGTTAAGTCATTTGAGCATATAATTTCTCATAGTGAAATATTCACACATGGCCTAATGAAAACTAGACAAAAACAAGTAGTAGAAATGATAACAAAAAATACATATGAATGCATGAATAGTGTTTGGCAAAAGAAGGAATTTATCGTTTATGTATACTTTTGGAATGAAATTTCTAAGAAAACTATGTGGACATAAAGAGAAATAATGAAATATCCGACCAAGTGCTTGTGATGAAAGTATGTAATTATGACTTAAATGTTAAATAATTTATATACATTTAAACCAAAATAGCAACTGCTTCAAACTTAATACATATTATATATTAACCTACCCATATAAATGAAGTATTCCACTGATTTTCCTACTTATTTAACAGACTCCCATAAAAGGCCTCTTCCCAAATGAAATTTTCTTTAAAATCATGCAGTTTTACCAAAAATATGAACTTAAACCTGCTTTTTTACTTCCCAGTGATAATTTTTCCCAGATTCAAGTGGCTAAGGCCTCTTCCCAATTCAGTGAGAAAAATAACTGTTTTCAAACATCAATTTGTAGAATTCTCTCCAATTTTTAAGACTGCGCCATACAGTTTGTGATTTCATTGCATGAAACAATTTTGATTGGGAACAATTATGAAATAAGGTAAATTAAGTGAGAAAAAAAACTAACAAAAAAAAGCCAAAATATAAATATGTTTCAAGAATTTAGAATTCTTCTTTTTTAAATATGGAAACAAGTCATTGTACTAAACTTGCTTAAATCTTACCATACTTAACACAGAGACTTTTCCATCTTTCAATTTTGGACAAACCGTTCTTTCTTTTTAAGGAAAATTTCAACGTCAATATTGGCTGAATAGCAAACAGTGCAGAAAGTGATCAATGGCACAGATGTGGGCCTGCAAATTGGTAAAATCAGTTACTGCCAACAGTGCGGACTATTGGTTACAGGAGAAAAGCGCAAATTCAGCATAAAGACAATAAAAGTTTTCATTACAAGAACAAATCTGTTAGCACAAACATAATATGAATATCTCACATTGTGTTATTGTAAATTTTTTAACAAAATCAGCACAAAAAAAGTCTTAACAAAGCTTCATATGTGTAATTCTCAATGTTATATATACTTTGACAATAAAGCTGACAGAAAATTTTCACTATATGCAATATTAACAGAATAATTATTTTCTTCAGAGTTGGGCAAACAGTGACATGATTTTGAGCAAGAAAATTCATTTATTCTGAAAAAAACAACAACCGAGTTCTTTTTTTTTTGTGATTTAGGCTTTGTTCATACTTTAATATACACTCATATATTGAATCAAAACATTAAATTGAAAAATATTAACTGAAAAAAAAGCACTAGTGTAATAAATAGCCTAATTTCAATTTAAATAGTCATATTAGACTTACGATCAAGGTCAAAGGCTTAAAAAAATCTCCACAGGAGATACATTTATAAAGAATTGGAGAAAAAAAATCTATGTACACTGAGCCTTCATGTTATTTTTCATATAAATATTTTCATACAATGCATTGTTTAACATCTTCAGTTATTTTAATACTGTGAGAACAAAACCTATAACAGAAATATAGGCCTACATAACTGGGTATTGATGCTAGGCCAACTTTAACACCCATGCCTTCTTGTAAGATTCTGTATTTAACATTTGGTTTATTTTAAGATTTTGATAATGAAAGGCCTGAGATAGCTCTTAAATCATAATGTGGGAAGTCGAGCAAATGAATTTATAATGGCAAATGCTGACTATAGCTCATTAAACAGCTCAAGCCTTTTGACAGTAAAGCTAAAAATTTGTAGTGCTGCTTCTATTCAAATTAAACCAAATAATGATCCAAAGTTATAAATAAGATAAATAAGTTTCAAAAAGGTTGACAATTGTCTCCATGTGTCAATAACTCATGATGGATCTGTCAGAAAAAAGGCAAGCAGACAAAGCTGTTTCATTTGTTAGTAAGAGTAAAGCATAATTTTGCTAGTAAAAACATTGCCCATATCCGAAGCTCATTTCACCAAATCTCTACAATCCACACCTTAATTTCAAGACAGTGCAGATTGGCTTGTAAACATTGTAGGAAAAAAAGTCACATGTTATCACAAGTACAACAAATAAATATATAGAAAACAATTCAACATGGTGAACAAATATTCCTTTACAATTCAAGAACATTATCATCATTTTTAGCCTGCCCTTTAAACAGATCTGCATCCAATTTCTCATTGACATCTATTTCTTTTTCCCAGAAAAAGCCTCATTTTTGATGATCGTTTCTCCATAGCACATTTCCTTAGTCCAACACAGCAAGCTGATGTTTAGATATTAACATTCTAGTATTTGGCAACACTGTACATCTCATGGTAAGTTATTTGAAACATTTCTTCAAACATATCCCAACAGAAATCATCAATGGGTACTTGTTATATGTATATCATGATCGAGATTTCGGCCCACAATCTGTCACTCAATGAGTTTAGTTAATATAGGCAACTTTTGTCACAAATCCTTTACTAGTTTATCTTTTCAAGTAAAGATCAGTACACATTCTTTATCGACTGAAAAATACAAGAGAAAACATTGTGTTATTTTAGGATTCAACGAGTGCATGACTTAAAATTTAGCTTCTTACAAAAGACAGTGCATAACAGTTATCTGTTATACTTCAAGACAATTGAATTCATAATTACTAAAACTGAGTCTTTATGACAGTTATTTATAAATGATACTATTTATTCTATCAATTCCTCACGGATTCCAAAAGCTTGTTAACAGACCCAACTATCCATCTATATATACTAATTACAAATAGAAATTTTAAACTATTTTATTTTAAATGTTAATTTTTAAACAATCTAGATTTTAAATGCAGTCAATCCAGATTACAGTTTACTGTTAATTTAAACATGGAATTTCTATTACTACAGTAATGCAAAAATGAAAACATATGCATTTTCTTTTGCATTTTAATATAAATACTTTGTGAATATAAAATGTATAAACAAATACTGTATTCCTAGAAATGTTCGCGGATACAATATTTCGCGTTTTTCACGTCGGCATTTTTGCGGAAACTTTTCGCGGAAATGTAGTAACCGCAAATTCCGTGAATGTTAAGTCCCTACGGCCTAAATTACAGTTTTTGGAGGCTACGTTTTTTATGCATGACCTTGCCTGTTGGGTGCTTTTAATTGTTTTTTTTCTTGACAAGTCGCGCAACGTTACTCGATACATTTTCATCTATTGACTAGTCAAACAAGGTCGGTTGTTCCGTGAACAAATTCATATTTCCAAACCTTTTTCATTATGTTATTAAGTATGATTTAGTCAGACCCGTTAGCTTTGATTCTCATTTGAATCATAACTGACTTTATCTTCAAAATGTTGATACGTATTTTTTTTACACATTTTTACACATTATCGGACTGTATATACCTTTCATTATAACAACTGTTATCAATGTAGCACTTGATCGCTATTGTACTCTTAACAAAGGATTACACCTACTCCAAGCAAATAAAATCCAAGCCATTCAATGTTTGCAAACTGTAAATGCGTTTGTCAACGCCGTGACTAGCAAATAACGTCAATAAGCATGTTAATTACTAATAATTGATTTTTTCTTTTCAGCGTGCAAACTAGTATCAATAACATACATAATAATTCTTTACACATTTCTATAACACCTGTGTTTATATGTTGTTTTGTGTAAGTAGATTATAATAAATATTCTGCACTTTTTATGATATATTTGGTTGAAGCTAGAAATGTTCGCGGATTTGTTATATGTGACATATTTGCGGCTATAAAGATTTGCAGAATCATGCCTACCGCGAAAACCGCTAATTTAAAATGCGCGAAATCTTTTCTAGGAATACAGTACCAAATTTATATAGAGTAAGATGCAAGGCATATCTAAGCATCCACCGAACCACTCCAAAACAAAGAAAGAAATTCAATATTTGTTATATAAAACTAAAAGAAAACTAATTTCAAAACAGAAAATTTTGTGTAAAACTAGCACAAAATAAATGACTAAGTAAGATCTAAAATACTATAGAAATCTAGCTGATATGCAAAGAAATACCCAGAAAAAAAACAAAAAAATTACAGAAACAAAAATGACAAACCAAGGTTAGAAATAATTCAAACGTATAAAAGATAATCAACACTAAAGATGATGTGAGGTTGTCAGAATTGTATCTTCTTTCTGTATGACAAATACAAAGAAATAAACAGTACACAAAAATCAGAGAAGAGAATCAAAAGAGACGTGTCCCAAAATTATGACCAAAAAGGAATTGTCAATGGTATAAAATAAGTTACTATGTTATGTTAGTATATCTACTGACCAGTTAGCTGGCACATCTAGGCATAGGTTGTGTGTTTTTATTGTTTTATGGAACTAACTTATATGCATTGCGTGATGGTGATCGTACAGGTGTGTCTGTGACGGGTACGTTGAGAAAATCCCACAGAAGTATCGTGTCGTCGTGAGAGCTGCTCACTATCTGGAACTCATCAAACTGGAGACGGAACACGCGGCCCGAATGTTCCTGCTGGAAAATTTCAAACTAAGGGAATTATTGCTATCAAATGAAGTATAACACTTTTCTAAAATTTAAATCTATGTTTAACTTGTATTAAAAATAGATTGGAAAGTAAAACGCATCAAATAGATTCAAAATAAGGTAATTATTTATATTTCAATGCAGAATTACATGCAGGACTAATTACAAATAAAAGGAATTCTGGTTCTAAAATTCATTCAATTTTCCCCTTCAAATATCTGCTAATGTAATAGTGTTTTTTCTAATTTTTCTCCTTTTTTTTAAGTCAGAATAAAAATTGAAATTATTTTCAATAAAAAAATATCCAGCATCAAGAACAATAAATATTTTTCCAATAATTGATCAATACCAGAGATTATTTTATTAACTAGTTAACCCTATTTCTGTACACAGTGTACTCATATCTGATGGTTAGAAAGATGTACTCACAACAAGGGTTTTGATACACAAAGTGCCTGCCGGTGCCCGAGGGTCCAATGCTGCTGCCAGGTCCCATACTTTAATCTTACTGTAATTAACAATTGTAGTTAACATTACATCAAAATTTTAAAGATCATTTGGCAATGTTCCAACTTTATAGGTGGGGGAAGACACCAAGAGTGCCACTCTGTTCATTAATTAAGGCACTCTTATGCCATCTGAGGGCAGAACCACCAACATTTCATCAATAGTTTCCTATGACAAAAAAATCTGTATTAGTAATTTGAATATGAAATCTTCTCGTTTCATAGTATCTTTTATTTACAGAGAGATTATAGGTAAAATCTGAACCACTTGTATTAACAATTCTATTAAAATGTTATTTGCTGTTAATGAAAACATTATTGAGTTCAATTTATGTGTGATGAAAACTTTGGTCAATATTGTATGCCGTATAGAATTATCACCTTCTCAGGTAAATGTAAAACCCAGACAGTAATGAAATTGTAATACAAAAAATACATGATCTTCACTACAGCTGTTTTCAAAATTTGCGTTCATGATGATTATGCAGTAGTTTATCATGGCTAAAACAAATGTTTCTAGGAATACTGTACATATCTTTAGCAAAAAAGTTATTCAAGAAAAATACTGTTTTAAATAGTACAGAAAACTCTGCTATCTGTTTTGAATAATGTTTTATCAATTTGCCTTTTATTACTATTATACTTAACAGTATTATCAATATTCTGCTATTCATAAACAGTTTAGATCATGGTAATCTCCCATACTATGGGTTGACCACAAAAATGCAGTAAATTATATGAAATTAAGAAGGACAGTTTTGCAGTCAATCCTCAAATTATCCATTTCCCTATTAAATTATAAAACATATATATATGCAAAACTTACCCATCATATGCCCCGCTAACAATCCTTCTATTATCAAAACGTATACATCTAACCAACTCTTCATGGCCTTCTAGCACACGTAAACATGCGCCACACTCAATATCCCACAATCTTATTGTATTATCCGAGCTACCACTAACTACTAATCTGTCTCTATATTGTAAACAAGCTATTCCACGTTTGTGACCATTCAATGTCCGTACAAACTCACATGTTGATGTACTCCATACCTAAACAAGAAACATACAATGTAAATACATTTTCACTTAATAAACAATATAATAAGTAATAACTTAAGTTCTACTTAATAAATTAACGTTCAAATTGCAAGTTTTTGGACTTTATGATGACAAGCACCCTTACTCTAACCTACTATTCGGCATTTTAAAACATCATGATTTGAATGTTGATGAATGTCTTCTATATATGTATATAATCATGAAAATTCTGACTGCTTGTGGACTTAAATCCATTTTTACAAGCTTTTATGTGAGCCAAGACTGGTGAATAAGAGAAGTAACTTTTTCAAAAAAACTTGGCTAACTTGAACTTTAAACTCTGTATTCAATTGTCAGCGACAAAAGTAAAAATTTTTTTTCCTGAAAGATTGTGGTATTTGTAACGTGTAAGCATGCATAACACCATGATCCCAATTTATAACACATATTTAAATGTATTTGTCTCTCGATATATCGATACAAAATTTTCCACCAATAACAGTCTAAGAATTTAGAATGGGATAAAGAAGCACGAACCTTGATAGTCCTATCACCTGATGCCGATACGATATATTTATCATCAAAATCTACAACATTTACAGCTGCCCTATGGCCAACCAACACACGTCTCAGATTGATTTCTGTTGGAGATTGCATGTCCCATACTGCTATTGAACGATCCTACATAATAAAAATACTTTATTAAACTGATTATCACAGCATGTTACTTCCTAAAAGATTCATTTTATTCTCAGATTTCAGATGCAATTTGACTGTCAACTCATAACACAGAAAAAATACTGTTTTCTACAATTTTTATATTGACTTTTTTCCCAAATATATCTGAACTTACAACAGCTTTTTTTCTTCCCAACTTGGAAAGTTTAGCGATAATTTTCCCCAAAATCAAGAGGCTAAGGTCTCTTCCTAATTAAGTGAGAAAAAAAATCAGTGTTAAAATGTCCTCTTGTTTATGCTGTATTTATCACTTATTAACGGAAAGTATATAAAGACCATAGACTCACTACAAATAGGTTAAAACTAATATGGACAAAAGAAAGCAGATACAACTGTGTTAGTTAGTGAAAACATCTTTTTGAATTAGCTGGACGACAGTCTGAGCTCGAAGTTTATTTGAAGCACCCAAGTCTGTTTCCAGGGACTTATTAATAGTATTCTACTGGTGTCATATAAGGAAACATGGTCATATCAGCAATAAAGCTTGAACCCACGATGCAGGACATCTAAATCACTTGGCCACTCAACTGTTTTGCACTTAACTTATGCAACATGTAACACAGTATACACATCTTGACAAAAAAAAGAATTCCTTACCTTTGAACATGTAACCATAATACCATCACAGAATCTAAGATGAAGTACAGCTTCACAATGGTGGATGAGGGTGTTCAGCATTTCTCCTGTACGCACGTCCCACACGCGTACCGTGGAGTCACTTGACCCAGAGATGATGATGTTGTTGTCGTACTGCAAGCACAGTACTGACCCAGTGTGACCGGTCAGTACCTGCATGCATTCTAATGAGTTTCTATCCCAAATCTACAACAAAATTTAAAACAATAATCAAACTAATTTGACACAAAATAAGTTTAGGCCAATCCAAAATAAATCTTTGATAAAATTTTACATTTTTTTTTTTCATGCAAATTTGTTTCAAAAAGTTAAATAAAAATATAATCAATAATGTTTTTTCCTGACAAAGTTCATTTAAATGCATAGATTTCATTCATCTACATTACTGACAAATAGACATCAAACTTTGGCAACAGAAACAAACTGTTTTAGACTGAATATCTATTAAATAACTTATAAAAATTGAAAATTTTACTTTTGATATTGATTTAACTGTTGCTATTTTGATATTGGAATTCCCTTAACTTTTTGCTATGTTCTAAATTCAAAGCTGAACATATCCATTAGACATTACACATATTTAGCTGGATAAAAACATCCTATAGCCTTTTATGCAGGGCTGCCAACAGCAAATTTCAAAATCAGCGGAAAATACGCCGGGGTCAAGGGGGCTGCGTAAGCCCCCTTTGCAGGTCCAGGGGGTTCAGGGGGCGAAGCCCCCGAAAGCTCCTGGATTCTGATGATTTGGTATGCCCTAAAATCAATTTCCTGGACTCTAAATTTGACAAATATCCGACATTTTGACGCATTTTGACAACAGACAAGAGCAACGATGTAAACTGTAATTTGATTGGTTATTCTAAAATAGAATGCCGGAAAAGACTCGATATGACCAATGAGAAAAGCGCTTACAGACGTACCATAGGCGGCTAGCGTAACGATAAAAGCCGAAGCGTGCCGGTTTTTGAGTACTGTATAAAATATGACGAATGAATTTATTGTCTTTGTCGAATTTACATCGATCTCAAAAATGACCCAGGAGCTCACGAAATCCGCGGATTTCCGCGGATCCGCGGAAAATCGGCAGCCCTGAATAAGGTATTATATTTTTTTGAATATCAAGGAACGTTTAATGCTTTATTCTCATTGTATTACTCTTAACATTAACTCTTCGCCTGCTAGCATCAACTGATTCTCCCCATGTGACTAGTGCAGACCAATATCCCCCATAACATCCATGCCATCAAATTATAGCCTGTACTACTGCCATTCAGTCAGTACAAATTAAGAAATTTTCAAATAAAATGAGGAATGGTTTTATCAAGATTGTAAGATGGACAAGTCCATTTAAGGTATTGTATCATGTGTTAAAGTTTAAAGTGGCATTATGCTGAATGTTTTCTTTGTCCGGTTGAGTTGAACTTAAAATAAATTGCAAAAGTTTGATTGTTATAATGATGATTGAATAATGGCGAAATGTAAACTTATTTTGACTTTCACCTGTTCACTCACTATATAACTTTGAATGGACATTTATGTCACATACCTTTATTGTATTGTCCCTAAGTCCACTCACTATCCTCAGATCATCATACTGTAGACAGTATACACCTTTACTAGTTTCACTTCGACAGTGTATACGTTGTAATGTATGTCTACCTGTCCGCCAATTTGTTTCTATTCTCTGAAATAGGCAGAAAATGCTATATAAAAGTATCATGTATAAAAGTGATCTTTTTTCCTAATTTTTGTGTGTGTTTTTTTTTATTCTGGCATGTAATGTTCAACTTTTTTGTGCTGCAGTATAAGATTACAGCATTTCTGTATTTTTGGAATTAATACTAAGTTTTTTAAATTTCATTTAGTGACAATCATGTTTGTTAACATATTTAATATATTATCACTTAATGATCAAATAACCCTTTTTTGTTTTTGTTTGTTTGTTTTTAGGTTGTTGTCTTTTTTTTTAAATACAAATAACAGCATAAAGTAACTTCCAACAAAAATGTGGTACAATATGTTGCCTTCAAATAATATGTCATAAAGGAAACCAGTATTTTAACAATTGAAAACATGACCCTATGTGTAATGCTCTTTGTATATAGCTTTAACAAGACTAGTTACAATTTTCCATGTTATGACATCATGAAAGAAGCTAAAATCTTATTTCCATGCATTACATACCTATTTTATTGTCTCAAACGGCTAGACACTTTAAAAGTTTCGGTTAATATCTATAGTTTATCACATTAAACTTATCATATAGATAAAATTCAACAGCCACTAATGCAGTTAAAATGCCATCCCTCCCACTTGCCCCCAAGGGAAATCTCTACATTTCACATTAATAGATATAATGTGATTAAAATCAATAGGACTGCATAGTTAAATACAATTATTGTGTAATTTTGCAGTTGCCATTCAATCATATACTATCTGTTATTTAATACAGCAATAAATCAACCGATATATACATGAAACACTTACATCTATATCTTGTATTATTTGTGGGTAAAGGCTTCGGTAGAATTTGTGATCTTTTGGTACTTCTCCCTGGCGAGGTTTAAACAGGTACTGACCCCTGAAATGTTCAGGAAAAATATTATATATTATAATAGTTCCTTTAAGAATTAACATAATTTTATCTTCAACCCAATTAAATACCAAGAACTTTGAGTCAAACCTATACAGTAAATGTTACTCTGGAACATGACAACCTCATGTGCCCCTATGCACTATTTTAATTAAGTAAGAATAACTTTAAAATAATAATGTAAGAAGAACTATCAACTTTTCAGTGAGCTAGCTGGATAGAAGGAACATTATGTTGTGTCCATGGCAAGATTTGAGCAGCTCAGAGTTAAGTTAAGATTGTTTAAAAAACTGAAACTTTTAACATTCATCCTGAGAGGTATACATCTCAATAAAAAATTAAATTTTTCATCAGTTGTACTAACGTCACTTCCTGTCTTAAACAATCAAAAATAAAAATAGGCTGTCTCAATATAATATAAGTAACAAGATTGACAATACAAATTTTTTTCCAATGATAAAATTTTCACTTTAAGGACTTCAATAAATCATTGAGAACTTAAATGCATACCTTCTTTTTAATAATACAATTGAAAGACTTAAAATACTTGAGAACTCTTTATCATAAATTCAGATAAAAACTGTTTTAATTTTTTAACAATTACACAAATGCATTTAGAACAATTAATACAAAAATGTTTTAAAACTTGTCACTATTTAAACTCTGAAAATATACAAGTCAATGCCAAAGAAAAATTTAAGTGATTAAATAGTAATGACTCTTAGGCCAATGCCATTTGTCGTGACTCAAAGGTCAATGCCATTTTCAACAATAATTTATATTTTCAATTGAGAATAGAATTTGTGAGTATGTATTCTCACCATCCGCGTCGGTCCGCAAGGCCTCGCCACAAGTTGTCTGTTCGTACCATGCGTTCCATGAGCTTCTTCCAGAGCATACCGTCTGAGATCACTCGGTACCATTCTTTACAAACTAATTCTGCTGAACATAATGATTTGGCATCCAAATATGACAAAATGTTTTCTGCTATGTGATCCAATCCTTTGGCTGGAAATGAGTGAGAGAAGAAATCACTTACCTACATTTCATACTTCAAATTTATGAAATAATTTCATCAAATATAATTGATTAAAGCCATTATTACAGAATTTCAATTTATAACAAGTTTGAAATTAATACATGACCAATTCTTCAAATATTCAACTTGGCAGCATTAAGATATTCCTTTAGCTTCATGTATTGCACCAATTTATAAAATACAATACACATATAATGTCATTGGCATTAACCACACCTATATTTCCTGTTTTTTTTTTTAATTTTTAAAATTTACATGATGATGGTAAATGTCAATACTTAAACATTCCTTTGAGCTGCAGTCCTAGTTCTGTGCAGCAACTTCAGTTATAATAGATGTAGATGGCTGACAGCATGATTTCTACATTGTAAAATGGCTCAACAAACAAACCTACCACAAATTCATTTCCAGCTTACCTTAATGATAATGAATGCGATAAAAACACCAGTATTTCCTTCAAATAACAATACCTTTAAAATCGAGTCAGTGTATTTTTCTCATGTTTGGATTTAAAGTCACCCAGACATTGTTTTTAAATCATACAGTGACTTTCCTGCTTGACTGGTGTTGGAAGAACTATGGTGCTCCTATGTTAGATATTTCAGCCGGCATCTGAATAAAGTAAAAAGATAAAAACTTACCTGGAAGTGCTGAGATAAAATCTCTCTGTAGCATGGGTTTGAGAAATGCATTGATTTGTCCATGTTGATAATGACACATACGGGACAATAGATGTTCAATAAACAACACTTGGTCATTTTCTGACCAATTATCAAACAGTTTTACACATCCATCACGTTCTTTGAGAAATTGGGGTGAAGGTTGCTCATCAACTACAGAGCCTACAGGTTTTATGTGGGCAATTGTCTCTGCCTGAAATATAAAGACATAAACTTTAGTAAACTTAAAAGATATTGATGTGTTTCAAGCAAATCTAAGCTTAAAGTAGCGTTGTGGCCGAGTGGTTATTGCGTCAGACTAGTAATCTTACGATTGCTGTCAGGGGCAAGCCGTGGTTTCCTTGAGCAAGAAACTTTACATTCATTGCTTGGTACTGGTTGGTTCCAGGAAGGGATTCAGGAGTGTTTCAATAAGCTTACAGCTTCCAACACAATCAAACTATAATAACTTTCTATAAACTAACAAATTTTGGTTCAGAACTCAGTTTGTCACAAGTCATTATGTGCTGGTTGTTGTTTTTTACATAACCCGTTCAACCCCGACATTGTATAAACATTATCATATGGATGTGTTATCTGAAGGTAGTGATGTTCCGATTGTCGCAAGCCGCCGATAATCAGTTTCTGTTATGTAAAGCGACAATAATCGATTTACAAAAAATTTGTTCCGCGACGTCGTCGAAAATGCTTACTGCAGTAAGGTATCAAAGGGAATTAATTCTGACGTTAATTTTCTTTAAAGAACACCTCACCGATCGCAAAAAATCATCTCAGAGACAATTTGGAGTTGAACAGGATCAATACGTGAATGTAATCAATAGTAATATAATGTGATTTGAATGTTATTATTTGACATCCATTGAAAAATAAAATCTATTTCGTAAAATTATGACTATATAAGGTTAAAACTATGTTGAAAAGTGGAAAATGAAGTTCATGTTATTGAATATAATCAAGTGCCTTGGGAAGATTGGGAAAAAATGATACTTCCCCATTTCTTTTTAACGTGACTTTATTCAAAAAGTTATCGATTAATTATGTCCCATCCGACTTAACCCATGATCGATTGGGACAAATTTCATCCGATTTCCATCACTATCTGAAGGTAATGACTTCATTACAATTAGGCTTTAACCCAGTGCCACATAATAGTACTTCCTACAAATTCAATGCTTTATGATAGGATCTAAAACATGTATGCACCTTTTTCTTGTAAAAGTAATTGACCAGCAATAAACAATACCTGATGTGTAACATTTACTACTTATTGGAATAATTAGTACAAGATTTACACATTAAGGCACTTATATCAAAATTGATATTGTTTTCTGCAGCAATATGGCATAAAAATTGATGAAATATTTAATTTTTATTAATGTTCAGTAATTTGTTAAGAGGTATTTAAGAAATTAAATAATCAAATACTTAAGTATTTTATATACTGTATATATATATTTTAAGCACTAATGTACAATCCATGAACACCACCAAAATGTTTAATTTTCAATTTGTCAATAAAAAGAAGTTACAAAACAAAAGTTGCCCATGTTGTGACAATGAGTCTCCTATAATAATACACACAGACACAATATCCCATGATCATGATGGTAACAAACCATATTGCTCTGACACTAAAGCAAGTTATAGCACAAGAGTAGATCACTACGAGTGTAAAGCCAGGAAGCTACCACTTTTAGAATCAAGTTTGATTAACACAAACTAAGTTTTGCACACTTTACCACTATGAAAGTATTATTTTTGCTGCATGGTCACCATTGCAGTATTAGTTACCAATAATAAATTGCACCAAATCCCGGAGACAAAATTGTTGACATGCATAAGAGTATAATCAAACATAGCAGCCACAAAAGTATTTCCTTACCTCCTGAAAACAATTTTGTGAGATACCTTACAAATTTTAATTGAAAGCAATCTGATTCTGGTCTGATTTTTAATTATTTTCTTTAAGACAATAGAACAATTAAGGCTAGCTGCAAATCAATTGTGATAACTGACAAGCATATTTATTGACAGGACCCGTTTCATGACATCCATGTTCCTTAAAAATGGTCTTTTTAACGGATATTTTAAAGTTTGAAATATCAATGACAAGGAAATTCAACCAATAATACTCTTATAATGTTAAATTGTATACCTTAATATCAAGTGATCCCTTTTCTTCCAAAATTACCTACTTTTTTATCAACATAGAAAGTTCGTGTATATGTTAATGAACTACATGTATTTAAATGAAACAAAAGTCAATAATTATACAAATTAACTAATTATTTAGATACAAATAAATTGATCATTTACATATTAACAGACCAATCATTTGCATAAATTAAGCTTTGAAAAAAAACACACCCAAATCATTTAAACTAAATCACATACCATTTCAATGTTTCTAAATCTGTGACTGTAAAATTCGCTTTTCTTTCAATTTATATAAATTTATAGAAAAAAATAATTTCTACATTTTCATCTGATGAAAATTACACTAAACTATGTCACTCAATTTGCAAATATACAAATGTATTTCCCAATTGATATCATAGTCACACAATTAAACTACGGAGTATGAAATGTATATACTGTTTTACACATACATATAATTATGTAAAATATTATATTTTAACAAAAAAAAAATCCAAAAAAAGAAGAAGAAAAAAACCTGAGGGAATTCCTTAGTATTATTAAGCATCTTTTGTATCCATATCATTAACAAAGTAATGTCAATATCTGTATCTGAGAACAGTTAATCTTGATATTTTGTAATGCTTACCTGCTTTTACAATGATATAACAAGATATATATCAGTTTTCAATGACTCACAGTCTCACTTTGTATTAGAAAACCTATATAAACAATCACACTCAAAGATAACCTTGAAATACTCATTCATTATTCAGTATTCACTTACTGATTTACAACACTGTGAAATCAACTGATAAAGTTTCAATCTAATAACAATTGTACACTGTTGACAAACATGTATACATGTACCAAATCTTAATGTGTCAAATCTAAACAAATATAACCCAGTTTTTAAAATAATGACAGATTGATACATACCAATATTGTTGTAGTGACAAAATAATCTTTTTCAAGCATTATCTTCTATTTATAATCTGTTTATATAATTATAAACAATAGGATAATGAGTATCATAAAACAAAATGTAAGTTGTCAATTCTGAACATGGGAAACCATGGGGTTTTTCCCAATTAATTTTGAAACTTGACACCTGAAGATTTTACCTGATTATTATGTAATCAAAAACGTTGATGACAACTGATTCTACCCATGTGACAAGTGAAAAACCAAGAAGATCATCTGACACATTGGTGCTATCTCATCTTAGTCTACATTGTTCACTCAATATATTTTCACATTTTACCTAAAAATTAAGAATGGGCAAGTCCACCTCGGTAAAATTTAAACCATCATACCATAAATGTCATGCAGAAACATGCACTAGATGTTTATCATACAGATAATCTTTTATTCAATTTGGTTTAACTGAAACTGACTGGATCTAGAATTGTCAATTTAAGCTACCAGAAGAATTCACACGGGATTAACTTGTTCATATTAGCTATCAATAGTAGACCCAGCAACAATATAATTAACATAATAACATTAACCCAACTGGGAATATCAACAAATTGATTCTGTTACAGAAAACTACTGACAGGCATATAGAATAAAGCTACAACTCAACCTACAGCCTACATCTATAATTTGGCCACTTTTTTTTTTGGAGCAACATAAAAAATTCCCTCGATTTTCAGCAATAGATGACAATTTGTTTAGAGAAATGGTTATAAATCATTTCACCTTAATTTTTTTCACAGCATGGAGAAAGAATATTCTTTTGAAATGAGACAAATAATCATTACTTGTTTACAGAGTGGTTTTTACAATACAAATTAAAAACTTCAGTACTTGAGTCTTCAACAAAATGTGTGACTTGCATAAGATTTGAATGTGATTATCAGCAGGAAACCATTTCTTCTAATGCATAGTACATGAAATACAATATTTTCATGTTGAAATTGAAAAACAATAAAATTAACAATGACAATCCTGTGGTTATATAAACAAATGATTTGTAAAACACAGTTTCATCTCACTTGTGTTATTATAAAACATTGTGGCAGTTTGTGACCCCATTTTATGTCAACAATCCTAGGCATTCTCAGATAAGAAAGCCGCGAGACTCCCTCAATACTCTTAAAACAAATAAAACAAACCCTTTTAGAGCTACATTTGGCAGAACATGAGAACGGAGAGATACACATATGGGTGGATAGAGTAAATCTAAATAGAGAAAACACAAAAAACACATAAAAATGCTTTTAAAATCACTTTCAAAATTTAAAATAAAGTAACTAATACACATACCATACTAATAAAAAAAGAATAAAACATTTAATCAAGGTTGTACATAATTTCTGTTTGGTAGTTTAATGTGAACATTCAACCTTACAACATAGCCCTTTTTCTCATTTGGCCTTTTTCCCCAACAGTAATCTTATTTTATAGTATCTTAGGGGAACAATTATATGATAGATTATCTATTATATGCAGAACAGTCCTACCATAAACTCCAACTGTCCAACCTGATTACGGACAATATCTTCCTGCTAATTAACTATGAAACATAAACAAGAAACAAATTTCCCCCTGTATTATTGAGAACTGAAGAAAATTTGATAAAAGTGATAATTAAGTATTATTAAAAATTGAAATTTTTACAAAGAAAGTAACAATTGTGTGTTAGCTACATGTAGGTCAAATAGATCAATATTGTGCAAAAAAATCTTACAAAGTAAAAATCCCTGACTAAAAGAAATAATAAGTAAATGTGCTCATGTAACAGTACATGTATCTAAAGTACAATTTTAACCATGAATGCAGTTTGTATGCTTCACATACTGATCCAGAGATCAAAAAAATTTTAAAAGCTGCTTATCCCGCATCCTTTAGCTAATTTCATCTAGCATGCTAAAATTTTCTATTCCCTCATGCTGCAAAGTCTACACATACAAATTACATGTGCGGAATTTTTTTTTTATCCCTGTTAATCCAAGAAAAATTAAAGAAATGTATAAATCATGTTTTTGTCAAAATATTAGGGGCATGCCCCTTAAAAAGTTTTTTGACATTAACAAAATTGGCTAGTAACGGGAAAGAAAATTTACTAATAATTTTTCCAATTTTAATTTTATTTTGGGATGATATATATGACCTAAAAAATTTATTCTTGTTTATATATTTTTGAAATTTTACACTTTCAATGAACTAAAAATTTTTTTTAAGAAAAATTTTGGGTATGTAGTATCATAAGCAAAAAGACTATTCTTTTTGTAAACAGTATACTTTAAAAAAATTTTTAAAACTAGAAGTCATAGTTTTTACTACCTTAAAATGTTTCAGCTGATTCAGTTTTAAAAAATTTGAAGATTTTTTTCTCGGGTTTTGCTCATTCAAAAAAGTGCAAAACCCCTTTTGGGAAAAAACTAATTTTTTTTCCTGCATAAAAGTATACTTTGGGGTTTACGAGCTATTCCATCTAAAAGATAGTATAAATGGATACTTCTGTGATTTATTCGGATTGCTAAAGTTGATGATAATTTCTTGATGTAAATTATTGATGGAAAGCATTAAATTTTCTTTTTTGGATAAACTAAGTTGAACTTTTAATATTTTTATTATCACAGGGCAGTCAGACAAGCAGACACAATTTTTTCCCTGGACCAAGTGAAATTTTACTGGTCAGGACTGTATGACTGGTACTTTTGGGAATGTCTGGCATGTGGTTAATGACACATAGGTCAGACTCAAGAAATTCTTTTGTTTAGGTTCAGAATCTTTTATAAAACCAGCCTTTTTGCAAGATAAAAAAATGGCGCAATTTGTGTCAGCCACAAAGGGGGGTGAAACAGACATATTTAAAATAATTTTTTTTAAAGGGAAAAAACCTTTATAGGACTATCTTAGTGGTTTAAAATCAATTTCAATATTTTGGTAAAAGTTATCTTTTTTTATGATAAATTCCAGATTCTGCATTGTGTCCAACACAAAATTCTGAAAAAGATTCTATGGTTTAAAATAATGTGTGTTCCAGGTTTTACAGATCTATGCAAGCTCTGGTAGTTTGTAAACAAAAATTAAGGTAGTGGAAATCATATGTTGAAGTTTTAAATTATTTGAATTTTATTTATTTTTTGAATAAATTTTTCAAGAAAAGCCCTTTTGAAGAAATCATCGACAAAAAATGTTATCCAAACAACCATTATCAACATTAAGCCGATCAAGTGTCCCTTTGGCTTTGAGGGAACTCGATCGACAGCTTTAAATTGTGAAATTTTTTGTTTGTGTCAAACAATATTAGTTACAGACTAAGTGCTTGAATATTATATTTTGTTAATACCCAAAAATAATTTTATCCATTCTAAATATGTTAACCCACTGTTGGTAAATTCTCTTTTGCATTGACTGCAATAAAGGACTTAATATATGTTACCTCATCCCTGTAATTACCATAATAATCCCAAACATGCGCAGCACATATAAGCAAACAACTCAACTGTGCGCATAGCATAACTGATAAGGAGATAGCTTAGAGAAGTTAGTTGTTGGTGGTGTTTTGGGCCCACAAGTTTTTTTTTTTTTTTTTTTTCAGAGATCAGACAGTAAATTTTTTCAAACCCGAGAGTAAGTTAACCAGAGCACAGTAATCAGTTGTTTCAGTATAATGTTTATATACTGTGAATACGTTGCAAGACATAGTCATTAAGGTAATCAACATAAACGTTATTCTAGTAAGGCGTATGTTTTTTGTAGGGGCCCTGTTCCAAAAGCTTCAAATGATCAACAATACATAAAAATTGGCCTACGTATTTTTTCTAATACAAAATGTAACATGTTAACAAACAATTAGGCAATTTTGTCAACCAATCAACATTTAATGAATGAGGCTACTTTTCTTTAAAAACATCGTAATAACAACAAAACATCCAGGTAGAAGTCATAACAAACAACACTAATTATGAAAACAGGAACACACCCGGTGGTGACAAAGACAGTTCAGTGATTGAGCGTCGATTTCTTGGAAGAAAAGTGGTCGAATTACATTTTCATTTACCTTTTTAATATCTAAACGCTCAACAGATGAAGAGCATGTCTCCATCTCACTTTCCATAGATGTCATTTTGTAATATTTAATCCTATCACGCTAAATTAGGGTCATATTTCTTCACTCAATTTGTTGGTTTCCTTTCGTCTGTCATGGAGGAAATATCTGTGACGTCATGCAAGGTGCGAGGTGAAAACCACTTTTTCGGATTTTTTATTTTCAATTTATATTGGATATATTAGCTGAAAACTTCATAGATCTTATCAATTAATCACAATTACTTATTATATTTTTAATATATCCAGTTAAAAATAAAATAAAAAAGGAGAGAACCGAAAAATAACCATACGGTTACCGATAATTATGAACCGTGCTCAAAGTAACCGTTACTATAGTCTGTCCCATCAAATTTGAACATTCCATTTTTTATTAAATATAATAGTAAAATCATTTAAAATTAATGTCATGTTAACCCTGACGTCAATATATCTCTAGGCATGTTTTTCATTTTTTTCATAAAAAGTACGAATGTTGTCAAAATGCTAAAATTATATTTTTTCCCGTTGACATTACGTTGTAACCTGACGTGACGTCCATTTCAAAATGGCGGGCCCATATAGACGTCATTTAGGGTTCGTCCTCACAATTAGCGTGAAATTACTCGTAATTATAAAAAAACATTATCCTTATTCACTTACTGGTCAATAGCTAAGGTTATCATTAAAATGAAAAATGACTACAAAGTTGGAGTCAAAAAGGCAATTTTATAGCAAACCATTATTTAAAATAATCAAAATCATTTGAAGTGAAAATATCAGTAAGGTTTATAAATTCTAACAAACAAAGATTTAATTAGTTACCATGATATAATGTCGTATTTCATATTTTTTTTTAAGAAAAGTGATTTGATTATAGCTTTTCAATCAAGCGCGTATCTTGAATACCGCAACGCGTCGTAGGGGAGCGGGAATACCAGCTAGAAGACTATAAAAATGGTTCTTCGCTAATCAATGTTTAATTTAAATAATTCTGAAAGTTGTCTGAATTCTGTCCATTAGTGTGCATCACGGGTCTATTCAAAAATTAATAAAGTGACCACGTTTCGATGGGATACAAAATATGTTACCCTTCTTATTTCGGGTGCGATGTTCGTGCGCTAAAACTTTCCGTAGGTTTCACTTTCACAAGAAAACGCCAACAAATACTACATAATCATGCAAATCTGACAAAAAATATTAAGAAAACTGATTCACTTTAAGCGTTCAGCATTGGTTTGCTTGTTAACACAGTGTCTACTTTAACTAACTCCGTCGCTAAAACGGGAGACTCGCGTTCGGGAAAATGTAAAATTTATAAGAATATAATATCATGCTTTCTAGTTTAAGCAATCAAACGTAAGGCCTATTCACTTTAAGCTCGTAAATACCATGTTTAACTTTCCATCTCGCATTCAACAAAATGTCCAGAAATACCGACAGTGATTTGATATTATTAAGAGAAAGTTTGAATTGGAGTGTTCAATAAGCGACAATAAGTGGTTTTTTGTAGACACAAAATTTTACATGTATATGTTAGTGTTCATCCGTGCTGTTCTACAGAAATTTTTTAGAAACTTCGACGGGAGCTATAGCGACAGGAGAATGTTTCTAATTTCTATAGAACAGCTAAAGATGAACACTAAATATTTAGTGTCAAGCTTTATTTGGCCCTTGATTACGTCACTACGCGGTACTATGAAGCACTATGAAAAATAGAAGGCGACTATGAACGGATTTTCAATATAGTATCGACATTTTTTTTCTATGAAAATTTAACACACATAATTTTTAAGAAATACAGCGTTTTCATTGGATGACAATTAAAGCTGGACAATAAATAATTATTTTGTTTATATGAAGGGTAGATCGAGTCAAAGAGAAACATCGAGTGACGTTCTCAATAATTTTAGCCTTCCTGAAATTTGAAAATATTTCAGTGTTTTAAACAAAATCAATAGATCTAAAATCTAGCATATTTTTCGCAGGAGAAAAATACCACGTATTGGTATATTTTGTAGCTAAAAGAGTAAGATTTACAGAAGTCTTGAATAACGATAAATATGTAGGGAAACTATTTCTGAGAAATATAAAAATGTTCAAAATCTAGTTAATGAAAGAATTATTGTACTGTTGAAGATTCATGTCATTTTAAGTGTGTTTAAAATTATTTTTAAATGTTAGAAATCTATCAAACGTTTTATATTATAAATATATGAATTAAACGTGGAATTTGCAAAATCTGGGTTTACAAAAATTATTTTAAATGCCATCAAGACAAATTTATCTCAACGCTTAAAATTATCTGCTTGAGTTTACATATGCCTAACCGCCCTCTGTCAATGCCGCAACTGTAATCATCCATAAAAAGCGCGAGGCATTTTTGTTACGTCATATATTTCGTCAATTGTTGTTGACGTAATAAAGTTTTTTTTCGTCAGGAATCCATAAACATTGTGATGTAGACAACTAAAATTTATGGGGCAGTTCTTTGAATTATGGATTTGGAACATGCTGAAATTATGATGTGTTTCATTTACATATTTCATTTGCTAACCCAGATAACTCCACAAATTGAAGAATTTTTTAATAATGAGACGGATTATCGTTTAAAAAATCTGGGATCATCAAAAGTGTAGGAAGTCATGACTCATGTCATTAAGGATTTTTGGAGTCAAAAAGTGGGATCTACGGAACTGGATAGAAACTGGCAATGAAGGAATCTTCATATGCGAATTTGCCGTGACGTTTAAAAAGTTCATCGGATTCTATTAAGCTTAAAAGTAAGTGCAATTTCTAGATCTACTCCATGTGACTCGGTGTTCTTGTTGCTAATTTTTCATTTTTTTAAAGTTTTCCATCATGCATTGCAACTAAACCGTTACATCTTGTAGATCCAGCTATGTAAAATAATCATGAAACGACCCCGAGAACCTCATGTATATATTAGAAACATGACACGTGCTTTCTCCCGTTTATCTTCAAATGAAGAGTACTTCGGCAATGGCTACGGAAAATAAACAACAGAGATTTTCCATAGAGAAATCAAAATTTGCTTTCGCAAGAAAAGTAGACACTTTAGAGTAAAATCCTGAAAAATCTCGAGGGTGACTTTTTTTTAGTTTACAAAAATGTTTTACTTTTTATTCAACATCGTTTTGTTAATTCATAACAGGCAAAAGTTCATTTCCATTTTTAATGGGACAGACTATAGTGAGCTACTTATAAATAATAGGATATGTGCTCACAGGCATGTACATATTTTATACATTTTACCAATACTCGTATTGATTTTGTCAGGAAAATACACATAAATTCATACAATATTGTCACATATATCAACATGCATATATAAAAACACACAAAAAGCTATGGAAAAGACTCTACATAATCTTGTAATTTATTGTATTAAATTTATTATAAATCTTTTTTTGTTATTATTATAACAACGTCATATTATTCCTACTCTAATAACATGCTTACTCAGATCACTCTCAACTGTTGAATTTAGACAAATATTTGTTGTAAAGTTTATTTATAATTTATATGATTTGTGTGTATTATTGTATGTTATGAAAATGAGCTGTATGTCTTTAATAAAATTTCTGTTCTGTTCTGTTCTGTTCTGAATCAGTGGCGGATTCAGGTCCGGGCTTCAGGGATGCAGCACACCCCCCCCCCCTACCCCAGCTCAGCCCAAAGATACGTTTATATATGGAATATATTTTTGGTAGTTTAAAACTTTATTATCAGTGATAATACTGCTAACGTCGTTGACGTCAAGTAAAGCTATAATTTAACAAGTAAAGCTAGCATTAATTTAACAATATCACATTTCTCCCATACTTTAAAAGAAATAAATTTTGAAAGTATGCAATTATAAGAAAATAAAATTAAGCATTATAATTTATATAAAGATAAAGTTTTGTATCTAGATCTATAAGTTGTCTATCTTTTCTTTAAATCCAAAATACAGTCTTTTAATTTAGATGGTAAACGTCTGGTACGTTTTGAAACTTCACGTTTTTGTGATTGATGCTGTTCAACCTCCCTTGGGTCACTACTGGATTGTTCCGCTTCATTTTCAATTCCATCAGTCCTTGGTTCTTGATCCCTCTCATCCTGTATTGAATTATTTGGCTGCAAATGTCTACCTCTGTCTGGGGTACTCAATAATTATTGTCTCCAACGGTCATCATTTGGTTCATGTAGTAATTTAAATTTCAAAGCATCTCTGTAAATGATGCGTCCATCCGATTTTCGTTGTGCCTTAATACTCGAACCTAAAACCTCTGTGACAATGTTATGTTCTTTCTCATACGGTGTAGACATTTATTCATTTCTCTATTCTTAAACAAAGCTTTGTCATTTATTTTAAATTCATGCTGCATAGATTTTGGATGTCGTATTTCTCTATTTGAGGGAAGGAAAAAATTATACAACGTATGGCACGTGCACATGGCTGCCGGCAGCAATCAATGCGCTAATTTTTTTATACGATGATTGGATTATTGGATTTTCGCACTTATCGTAATTGACACACACTTATTAAAGCCCATCATTGAAGGTGTTGATTGGCGATTTATCACAGTCACCAATCATATTAAAATATAGATATCTTATTTTTTTTCCATACAGATATATTTTTACACAGATCTTATTTTCGTTAAAGATTTTATTATATAAAGACAGTCATTTTCATATATAGTCGTTTTTCATATCATTCTGAGACAGATAGTATTATCATATAAATATTATTTTCGTATAGATCTTATTTTCGTATAAATCTTATTCGAAAACAGACATTATTTTCATACAGATCTTATTTTCGTATTAATCTTATATTCGTGGTATTATTTTCTTACAGATCTTATTTTTTCCGTATAGATCACGTTTATTTTATTTTCGTACATATTCAAACTCAAATAATTTTATTGCGTTAAACATACAATATATGTTTATAGCACATACAACATAACAATAGGCAGAAAACATGGATTTTTCAAGGAGCACAAGAATACAATGTAAAACATATGAATTCATAATTGTGACGTGTTTGAGGTTTTGTAAAACTATTTTCTAATCAAATTTGATAATAAAATATTAAAAGATTCTTTAAACTTTATTTTGATTCAGACAATAAAAAATTAGAAAATTTCTGAATGTAGGCATGATAATGTACGTCTGAGATTTTTTTTCGAATTTCGCATATTTGACATGAAAACAAAAAGTGAAATTCTTTTTAAATTGTCTCGAAGAAAATTTTGTTTTTTCCAGTTAGGTACGTTTGTTTTTCCCTTTTAAATTAAACAAGTCGGGGGGATTTGGCAAAATTTTTTGGCGCAACTCGAATCTTTTTCCTTAAATTAAAATAATTTTTCAAATTAAATTTATATTTTTATAGAATTTAAAGTTTCGACTAAAATTATTGATAAACAATCCCAACTTTGAAAATAAATATCTGTATGCTCGTTCAAAAATATTGTAAGTTAATTAACATGCTATTTTGGTTTTGCCAAATATACGAAAAAGTCCGCATTTATTCAAGTATAATTTTAATTTGATAAGCCAATCACACTTATATATGTGTTTATTTCCTTCAACATCGACTTTAAGCATGTTATAGGTTTTTGGAAAAGAAGAGATTTCTTTTTTACATGTCAATAATTTATATCCAATATTTTACCATTATTAATTGTCTACGAATGCTCATTGGGATTCTAGCTAATTCGCCGTAAAGGGCGTCTAAATTTGTAGAGCGTTTGACAGATAATACTTTTCTACAGAATTTGGAGTGAATGAGTTCAACATCAGGTCCGACATGATGACCCCAGATTTCAGCGCGTAATTTAACGTAGAAGCTACCAATGAATCGAATAAGTCACATTGTTTGGACACGGGTAATCAAGTTGGTTAAAAACAATAAACAAATTGTGTAATGAGTACGAGCCGTGCTGGGCTATTCGCTTTTGTGTTCGGTTCCAATTGCCATTTTTATATAAATGAACGCCCAAATATTTAAAAGAATCTACTAACTCTATATGATTGTTATAAAGATAAAAATCAAATTTGGTATGTCGGCCTTTTTTCAAAAATCATGGTTTTTGTTTTGCTGGCATTAAGACGTAAGCCCCATGTATTGCTATATTCTTCAATGTCGTTCAACATGGACTGTAGGGAGTTTGGATCGTGAGCAAATAAAACTGCGTCATCGGCAAAAAGTAATAAAAATAATTGAATGTCGCCATTTTTACACAGATCTTATTTTCGTTAAAGATTTTATTATATAAAGACAGTCATTTTCATATATAGTCGTTTTTCATATCATTCTGAGACAGATAGTATTATCATATAAATATTATTTTCGTATAGATCTTATTTTCGTATAAATCTTATTCGAAAACAGACATTATTTTCATACAGATCTTATTTTCGTATTAATCTTATATTCGTGGTATTATTTTCTTACAGATCTTATTTTTTCCGTATAGATCACGTTTATTTTATTTTCGTACATATAGTATTTTCATACAGATAATATTTATTACATATCTTAATTTCATATGAATCTTATTTTTGTAAGGATATTATTTTCATTTCACAGATCTTACATTTGTAAAAATCTCAGTCGAATACAGACATTATTTTCATACAGATCTTATTTTCGTAAAGATTTATTTTCAATAGGATCGTATTTTCGTACATATAGTATTTCCATACAGGTTTTATTTTCAAATAAATATCAATTCATACAGGTTTAAATTGGTTTTACAGACCTTATTTACAACAGATGTTATTTTCGTAACCTTATCTTCGTCTTAACATTATTTTCATACAGCTTTTATTTCCTTACAGATCTTATTTTCGTAGAGTACTGTTTAGATTTTATTTTCGTACGATACATATCCTTATATATATTTAGATCTTATTTTCGTAGTCGTTGTTTCAGGTTATTTTTGCACTTGTTCTTTCTTTCATTTTGATACTTTTTCTCCACAAACATTTCTTATCTTATAAGAGAACATTTAATTCTTAAAATTTATTTGCAAAATCATTAAAACTAAAGTTAATACTATTTTTAATATAAGTTATGAACCATGTTAATATAGCTTTTATTTTCGTAGACGCAATCTTGGTTATATGTTTATGCGTTCTTTCTATACTAAATTTGGAATATTTACACACGGAGTTATATGAAATATAAATCCGTGATTTACCATATTTGCCGCACAGACGTCTAACATTTCATTACAAAACATTTCATTCTTTATTATTTCATTCATACAAATCATTTGACAACACCAAAAATACGTTTTAATACATTAAATAAAAAATCAATTTATTTTCGTAGACCCGATTTTATTTTCGCTTTACACGGCAATTTGAGCTGTTTTCATACGATGGTATTTTGGGCTCAAACATCACATTTTAAAATATTTTTTTTGGTTCTGAAATTTATTATTTCTTTCATACAAATCAATTATTAACATTAAAAATACGTTTTCAATACATTATATCAAATATAAATCTTATTTTCGTAGACCCGATCTTATTTTCGCTTTACACGGCAATTTGAGCTATTTTCATACGATGGTTATTTGGGCTCAAACTTCACATTTTAAAATATTCTATGCCCCAGGGCATATAGTTATTGAACCGTCCGTCCGTCCGTCTGTCCGTACAAACCAGAGCTACATTATGGGGTTTGGTCTATTGTTCTCTTAACAATAGATGTCGTTGATGTAATTCATTCCGTTTCTCTTGTGGGGTTATTTTCTGCATTGTGGGGTTAAAAAGAACAAAAGAAATAACAAAAGAAAACCCCATAATGTAGCTCTGGTAAGAACGTCCGTCCGTCCGTCTGTCTGTACGAGGTTAACCTAGAACGGCAGGTTGGATTTTTCTTAAGTTCTACATGTACAAATGGCTTCATAATTTACACACTTACTAATCCATACAAATTATATGATCTGGGCAAGTTACATAACTATGGCTTCCATTTGCACCAAGTTATGGCCCTTTTCAGCACTTAGAAAATGAATAAACCGGAAAGTTGGAAATGTCTTATTTTTTATCTGAACTAATGGCTTAATAACTTTCACACTTACTTATCAATACAATGTACATGATATTGCCAAATTATATCAATTTGCCCTCCATTTTCCCAATAATTTCCTTTTTTATCACTTTGAAAATAGGGCCTTGTATGGTTAACTTATTCCGCCAAGTTGAATTATCAAAAAAATTCACCTAATTACTTAATTTATTTAATGATATCTTTCATATTCGGTAGGTGGATACCTTTAACGGTCCTCAAATTTTTTGTGGCGTTAGGCGTCTCTAGGTCAAGGTCACTTGTGTAAAAAAATAAATCTAAACATTTCTGCTCATACAGCCTTTATTTTTAAGTTAATGTCTTTCATGTTTGTAATAGTCATACCAAGAGAGGTCCTCTTCCTTTTCCTTTAGTAAGGGGTCATTTGGGTCAAGGTCAAAAATGTCAAAAAAAGATTATATACACTTTTACAGGTGTTTAAGTTTTCATCCTACAATACAATCACCAAATTAAGATTCAGTAGAGCTGTAATTGTCATAAAATCTAAGTTGTATCATTTTTGTACATTAATATGTTTTATTTACATATTTCTAAGGTGATTTTAGTGTAAAGCAGGGTCTTATAAATACTGTTTAAGTATTTGGCTAATATAGGCCATGTTTGTTCACATTGGATATAATTGTTATGATTGATTTCAATGAAGTGGTGACGTACTGTGTGTAATTAAATATACAAATTTTGTAAATAAACCATCTTTTTAGATGAATCAGCATCTGGCATAATCCTAAATGGCTCAGTTCATTAATTGACTTTTCAGTAGATACATGTAATTGAAATTTAACACTTAGGCCTACCACATTGTGCACGAAATGCCCGTGCTGAATGTTAATTAAATATCTTACGGGCATTCGTTCCACTTGATCAATTATGCATTTTTATATAGTTTTATTCATGGAGTTCATGTACACGAATATCTTTAAAAAATCACATTTCATGATCAAGAATAAGTTTTATCAATCTTAGCTACTTATATAACACTTTATTTAATCATTATATAATAAAATAGAATATAATGCATGTACTATATACAGCCATTTAAGAAAAGAACCACGTTTAAATGGGATGTTGATGTATCTTGTCAAATTTGGATGTCAAATAAATTTTCTTAATTTTGCATAATTCGATACCAGGAAACGGGCACATATATCGTGCATTTGACATGATGTAGTACGTGCGGATAGTTTTCAGCAGCAAATATGGCCGCCCCCATGGACCTCAACCTGCCGCTATGTGAAAAACCGGCTTTGTTGCAAAAGTTGAAAATGGCACACCAGTGTAATAACCTATTCCGATAAAAGAATTTTGTTATGATATGTTAACAATAATTTTGTCTCTTTGATATGAACCGATGACTTGTTTTATTTTTCTTGTTCATGACATATTTCGGATAGATTATATTTTGGATATTATGTGATTATCACAGGTCAAGCCGTTTCTGCCTACTTTTCGTGAGATAGTATTCATTTTAATATCTTAATTATGTTTGTTTATACTCAGACGGAGTAACAAAGTGTTGGTCAGTGCTTTAATCACTCGTATCTTACAGAGACTTCTAAACCAAGGGATAACATAAGAAACTCTAAAAAAATAGAATATTTTCACAGCCAGACCCCAAATCCTTTGCGCAAGATTAATTTGTCCTTGAAGATGGTCGTTTTCTGCCATCTTGTTTTACGTAAACTAACGTTTATGTTGTTTTCTCCAGAGATATTGGTCTTGATAAGTTTCCATTTTAATATTGTTTCTTCCAATTTTAACATTTTACACACCAAAAAAATAATAATTATGGAAATTTTCAATTTAATTTCTTTGTTATTTCAAGATGACGAACATGTTCTCGGGAAATCTCACAAAAATGTGAACTTGCGTGGTAATTAATTGTTGGTATAGATTTTTAAGTGTTTGATGTCATAGATTCCTCTCCATTTAGAAATAGCTCTGTGTATTTTTACTGTATTACACACTGTATAAATACACACAATCTATAAATTTATTAACTAAACCATCTATAATTAATATGAAAAAGGCAAAGCCTCAAAGCGAGCTCGATGTACTTTTAACGTGAAATAGTATGAAATAATCGCTCATTTTTATTTCAAATGCAGTGACGAGTGCGTGTGACGTTACACGTACTGTGTTAAATATGGCTCCGCCCCTGTCGTTAAATGAATAACGAGTTTTGAAAACGTTGATAAAACTTTGTTTATTTTATTTCACTCTATAATTTTTCAAGCGAAATAAAGATTGTTAAAAGTGAAATAAACGTAAAACTTAAAAAATGTTTTGCGACATTAAGGTATACGCCCCCTAATGAGCACTATAAGGAACTATAAAATTGACAACATAGGTCAGTTATATATACCTTTAAAGACACAAGAATGCAAAATTTAAACACAGTTTACCGTTATGGTTTACGAGTTATGAAAGATTTTTTCTAAAGTAAAACTTGGCTATTAGAAGGGCTCTTTTTCAGAAATGAGAAACTCTAATTTTTCTATTATATAATAATTATGTAAATAATGTTTTCCTATAGAAAAATATTTTAGAAACAATTAATAGCATTCAGCTAACAAATGACCCAGCAAAATTATTTTGTTTCTACTCAAAATGTTTGAATATGTATATAATGTTACCCTACCCACCCATTTTTAAGTAGTTGTTTGATCATTTCTCTATCAAATCAGGGCTGTTTTTCAAAGTTTGCATAAATTTTCTTAAAAAGTATATTGGATGCGCTGTCAAATATAAATCACTTTTACCGTCTAGTTTTTATTTTATTAGACTTTGAAAATATCAGGTACCATATTTTGATAATAAATTTGGCACAACTTAGCCAAAAGATACCAATAATAATTTTATAATTAAAAATGAAACACTTTTTTCTTATCAAGAGTGATCTGAGAGACACAAATAATGTTCAAAGAAAAAAAAAGAAAGAGAAAAAAAAAGTTGCCTCTTCTGGGCTTGAACCCGCGCCCTCAGTTTCAATGCGGTTGACAGTAGTTTCTAGTCTATTTGAGTATTCTTCAAAGTGGAGGTAATGCATTAAGGTGATGTTTGGCGCTACATTGTGACGTCACGTAACAATACTTTAAAACGTCTGTACAGCGTTAACGACTGAATATAAGATATTTGTGTTCGGATTAATTTTCTTAGTTAGACCATTTTCTTTCATTCTAGATACTTTTCACAACAAAATTCGACAAAAAAATTGTTTTTATTTATCAGATTTCAAACAAAATGGCGCCTTCGATTTTCATTTTTTATACACAGCTTCCGTTATTCTGGTTCCCTGTCCAATTATTGTCCCCATAGACGTGCGCGGGTGACCAGTCTACACTTCCGTTTTCAGTCAGAATTCCTCAGTTTTTATCGTTATCTTTAAATTCGAAAGGTTGCGATGTGTCCAATTCAGTACTTTGGACGAAAGTTTTCAAAACCATCACTTAGCAGGTACTCGCGTTACCGTAAAGCTCGCTTTGCGAGCAGGCCCTTCGGGCCAGCTCGTCGAGCTCGCTATTAAATTTATAGACATGTACATTCATATATCAGAACAAAGGAGTATGAATTTGCTAAACAAACACATATATTCTCATTCAAATTTTTGTCTTTCTACTCTTACCAAGCATCAGAGTTGTTATGTTGATCAAATGTGAAGCGTTGATGTTTGAATACTGAGTAAGCTGGAAGAAAAATACCTACATTTAGCAACTAGACTGGGTTTGCGAGATAGAAAAACAAAACCAGAGCTATAATTGTAAGATAATGATCAATAGGTTTTAATAATTATTGTTTTATTTTTTTATTATTTAGTGGGTTATGAAGTTGTGGCAATAAACAATTATGTTTCTGAGTTATTGGTACCAAAAAAGAAAAAGAAGTCAGGTGAAAAGGTATGGAATTTGAATGAATCATTAATTAAAGGTGAATAATGAGAATAAAGCTCTCTAGGTAAATCATAAATCTTCTTAAACATTACATTTAAGTATTTCCACATACATGTAATGAGTAATAAATAATATATACAGTAGGGGGTTTGAAAGATACTGTCTTACTATTGAGCAAGCTATTTAAGCAACATGAGAGAATGTTTGTGAGCGCTTTTAAATTTCATTCCTGAAAGCAGAGCTTGGTTATTTAAGACACACCAATGCCCAGCATTAGCTATTTATGTGTAAAGTATTGACAAAAATAGACCTATAAGATGTACTCTCATTTCATCAGAAAAAGACTCTTTTAATCTTGTTGCTTTTGTGCAATCAGACATTTACTGTCAATTTTGACATTTTTTTCAGATGAAATCTCCAAAAGAAGTTATGCCAAGTGAAGAAGAGATAAGATCAGTCACTGGTGTAAGTATTATATGCTAAATTTTAAGTTGTCTTAGAATTATTCACTAAATTCTGAAACCATCAAATGAAAGCAGAGATTTATGTTTAATTATCTCCCTTGAACATGTTTATTAGTGCAAAATCAGTTTATAAACATTGTTTAATCAAATCAAATCAAAATTTTAGTAAAATTGTATTTAAAGAAGTCCGTTTTAAAATAGTATATCAAGTTTTATGAATTATAAGTTATATTTATTTGATAACTCAAAAATATACATGTTTATAGGCAGATTTGATTGTATATTTATACATTCCTTTTGGGGTTTAATGTTAAGTATAATTAAAGTATAACACCTCTATATTAATGCTAAATTTTATATAAAAATTTAGAATGTCTTCAAAATAATAAAAAAAGATTACAAAATCACAAGTGAACAAATATCATTCAGAGTTTATAATAAAGATTTTTTTTTATCTTAGGCATCTGATTGGCCAGATACCTTTAGAATATATAGCATTACTATTGTTGCAGTCACATACCTTTAGAATATATAGCATTACTATAGTTGCGGTCACATACCTTTAGAATATATAGCATTACTATTGTTGCGGTCACATACCTTTAGAATATATAGCATTACTATTGTTGCGGTCACATACCTTTAGAATATATAGCATTACTATTGTTGCGGTCACATACCTTTAAAATATTTAGCATTGCTATTGCTGCGGTCACATACCTTTAGAATGTATAGCTTTACTATTGTTGCCTGAGTGATTTGTAATTAATAATGATTTCTCTGTTTTAATTTGCTTTTATTTTTCATTCATTATCATTTAGAGATCAAAGAAACCATTCAAAGTCCTTTCTAGGATATCAACAGCACATACTGATGTTTCACAAGCTCATTTTATAGTAAGTAAATTGTTTTTTCCGATTGATTTAAAACTCCTTTATGTGGACTAGGAAGTAGCACTTTTAAGTCACTCCAAACGACTGCTCCCTGTGTGTCATAATCAGTATAGTAACACTTGTGTTGATTACTCTGCTAAATTAATCTTTTAATTACAAATGTACCCTGCTAAAACATGTGTAATAGACTTGCTGTGCTAAGTTTATGTAATGGATTTGCCATTGGTTGAACAAAATATTTTGCCTTTTTTAATTGAAGTACTCTCTAGCGTGGGTTCGATCCCCGGGAGATGCTTTGGTAGTTTAGCGCGGAGGAAGGTAGTCTAGTACTGGTGTAACTCTCCAGGAACGATGGTTAGGAAACTACCCGCCTATATGACTGAAATACTGTTGGAAAAAGGCGTAAAAATGAAACAAACAAACAAACAAACAATTGAAGTAAAGTTAATTCAGGATATCAAAATGTTAAGCTTTAGCATCAAGCAGTAAAGTCTGGTCAAAATACATCCTGATTGAGTAGGTTTGCTGGTTCTTCATTTGAAATATAAGCAGGTTATCATTACCTCTGACATTATTTAAATACCATTTTTATTTTTTGAAGAGCACGGAGGAAGTGCAGTGTTATGACATTGTGGCTGTGCAACCGGCCTGTGAGAAGACATTTTCTGTAAGTTTTAAACTTTAAATTAAAGATTTCGGATACAGATGACATTTTAATGATTTAAGTAGGTAGTTAGAAGATGTAAATTTGAAATAACTAAAGTAAACAAATGCTCACAGGGGCATATTTAAGCATTATGGAAGTGGGAATGCCTGTTACATAGACTTTTCATATCCCAAATTTAATTGTCTTGTAAGTACATTTGTAATTAGTTGTTTTGTGGGCTGTTTGTGGCTGAGTGTTTAAGGTTGTTGACTTTCACTTATCCTCACTGTAGTGGGTTGGAATCCTGCTAGGCATTTTGAATTCCGACATGTAAGAAAAGAAACCATCGTGCTTACAGCATGTTGATGGTTTCTGCTCTGAATGGCCTTAGTGCCTGAATTAACAAATGGAGGCGAACCTGAGGTCTTCTTCCACTAGTAAAGCCCGGAATTTGCTATATGACCATGACAGTGTTGATGTAACTTAAAACATATAAACTTGTATGCCTTCATGTACAATGTGATGATGGGTTTATACATTTTGCAGTCAACCAAAGGGTTAATAAATTCATTTGACTTGATATTTTATTAATTAGCAGCAATTTCACCTTGACATAGAGTTACCAATAATTTTCTACACTGTATATTGCAGCAAGCTTGCAAAGACTTGAATGTAGATATAATCACCATTGATGTAACAGAGAAGTTTGCCATGAGGATTAAAAGGCCTACCTTATCACCTGTAAGTAAAACTTATTTTACAGCAATTATACATGTATATAGTCTACTGTCATGTAACACTTGTTTCCTAATTTTGTAATATGAACTTGTGCGTTTTTTTAATTAGGAACAGATCATTGCTAGTTGAAGGGATAATAAAATTGAGTGTGGCCAACAAAATAGTACCTAATCTGGTCTTGCTCTTTACATGTATTGATGGAGAAGGCTGTTCAATTTTACAATTTAAAATGACCTATTTTAGATATTTTGATGGGTTAAAGGTGTATTTTTCTGCTTAGCTTGCTTGTCAGTAGCGGTTACACAGATATTGTCACCCCATAACCTTGCTTGAACTGTAAATGACCTTCCTTTGATAATGGACAGTCTCAAAATAGAAGCAGGGAAGTCCCATTTAGAAATTTAGCAGGCTAAGAGTAAAGTTGATTTTGTTTTGATAAATGACTAAGACTGGATTTAATCAAAATGGCAAACTTGAAATTGCTACATTTATTTATTGTACCAGCTTAATGGATTTTCCTCCTTGAAATTGAAAGAAAAATGAATTGAAAAAATGATCCAGAAACGATTTTATTATTTTCATTTTTGATATTAAATATCTGAAAATTACTATGTACTGATCACAGAAAAATCAAAATATATGCACACTGTGACACTCATGCCATATCATTATTCGTATCTGGGACAGTCGTCTTATTTCCTGAAAGTGATATTGAGTTGTTGATGAAATAATCAATCATGTTTAACACACTCTATTTCAGGCTATAGAACGAGGTATACAGTTTGAGTTACAATACAGTCCAGGGATAAGGGATGCTACATATAGACAATACTTTATCTCAAATGCACAAAAACTCATTTTCTGGTGTGAAGGAAAGGTGAAAATTTATTTTATCTTTAATAATAATGTAAAAGGGTAGCCATACACGATTAAATAACATTGTTTTTAAAATTCGTTTGGTAATACATGTATATGTGGAGGACTCAGGAGTGTGGAAATTATCTTTTATTTCAATTCGTTTTACTCAGATAAATTGTTTTTGAAATTAATTTGTTTGCTAACTTTTTTCATGCAGGCTTTAATTTTTTTTTTAGTTTCAATGTTACAAGCACTGTCATTTGGCCAGTCATTTTAATAGTGGTATACAGTAGTGTTAAGAATGTTAGATTATTAATTCTGTCTTAATTATGCTTTGTTATACATGTATTTTTGCACAATTTTATAATTTCTGTTTTGTTAAGTTTTTTTTTTTTTTTTTTTGGTTTAATTATTTTTTTTTGGTTTCAGAATGTAATATTGACCAGCGGCTGTGAAAAGGTAGGTACATGTATATACTTTACCTTTCAAATTGAGTTGTGCCATGTAATTATCGCTTGCCAACTTGGCTTAAAGTTACATTTAATAAATTTCATAAAAAAACTAAATAGCGACATTTCATTAATAAATTAGGTTTTATATCGACTCCAGGTCTTATTTTAGTTTTATTAGTAAGAAAATAGGTAGCCTAATTGTGGCAAAATGGGAAGTACAATTTCTGTTTGCATGAGAAACTCCGCCTTCGGATCATCCGTACATCAGTATTAAATCAACAAACATGACTATAAGTGTTAGTCCTAATTTAAGGGTATATTTCCACATTGTAACGGATGTTTTGATACAAATTTAATCTTTTAACGAGATGATTACTTTTACTGAACACCAGGTTTAGTGCACCGTGAAGCTTAAACAATTAAAGTGTGTTTGCACAAGAAAATATCACATTTGCTGTGTTCCGGATAGCAACTATAAAACTGTGACGTAGCGCATACACAAGCTCATTATAGTCTTCATTTGCGTGTTAAAGTTTATATACAAACTTTAGTGTTACCGTGGAGTTTCCCGTTTAAAATCCTAATTTATGAACAATATTTGATGAGATTTAAAACAAAACTATTAATCAGGTTAATGAAACTGTAGAATGTTTTATTTTTAGGCTGACGGCAAAATATTTTTACATATTTATTTAATGTAACTTTAACATATGTAAGGCAGATCATTAAAAGCCTGTTAATCTTCTGTAGATTTTAAACTTATTGATGCAAGACACAAGAAGATAAATCATTTATTAAACCAATCAATTACTTAATGGTTCCAAAATATTCTTGTGTCATGAATAAAGAATTCAAAGAATTTAAGGGTTTGTACTGAAGTCATATACAATTTCCTGTTCAAAATACTCCTGTAATAACAACATTATATTACATTTGAAGAGATCTCCGGAATAAATCATCAGATGGATGAAATGCATACAGTAAAAACATACAGAGTGATATGGTTAATGTTTTAGTTGTCGTTTCTTTCTTTTCTAGGCCATTGAAATGAGGGGACCATATGATGTGGCTAACTTGTATCCTTTCTAACTAGTGACAGTCAGTAGTGATATCTTAATAAATAAATACCTAATAAAACTTTTTTTGGCTAGTTGATAACATAATTCATAATAATGTTAGTTCTTTATGTATGTAAAATTATTCAGGATGTATTACTTTAGCTCTTCATTCACCTCAAATACTCCACGGAAGATTACCTTAGGTCTTCTTTCACCTGTAAAGCTGTACTTTTCTACCTTAACTGTATGTAGAGGTTTGTTATTGAACCTAAATGAGAATCAGTCCAAAGATGCCGTCATGAAGAACTGCAGAACAGTTGTATGCCATTCAGGTAAGAAAATTTTAATGTACATGTCCTTTTTGTGTCGCCTTGAAAAGGTGACATATAGGGGTTACTTTTGTCGGCGGTGTCGGCGGCGGCGGCGTCTGTGTCGGCGTCCGCTAAAGCTTGTCCGGAGCATAACTCAGTCACTATAAGTCTGATTGACTTCAAACTTGGTATGCATGCTTCTTTCAATAACCCGAAGTGCAGTGCACAAGGATTGGTACTCTGCAGTTCTTATTTTTTGAGTTATTGCCCTTTGTTAATTTTCATACTTTAATTTTGTCCGGGCCATTTCTCTTCAACTAAAAAAAGCTATAGACTTGAAACTTCATAGGATGATAGATCTCATTAAGAAGAAATGCAGTGCACAAGAACCAGTACTCTGCACTTCCTAATTTTTGAGTTATTGCCCTTTGTTAATTTTCATACTTTATTTTTGTCCGGGCCATTTCTCCTAATGTATAAAAGCCATGGACTTGAAACTTCATAGGTGATGATAGGTTTCATTAAGAAAGAAGTGCAGTGCACAAGAACTGGTACTCTGCATTTCTTATTTTTTGAGTTATTGCCCTTTGTTTATTTTCATTTTTTAATTTTGTCCGGGCCATTTCTCCTTAAGTATAAAAGCTATGGACTTGAAACTTCATAGGATGATAGATCTCATTATTAAGAAGTGCAGTGCACAAGAATCAGTACTTTGCATTTCTTAATTTTTGAGTTATGGCCCTTTGTTAATTTTCATACTTAATTTTTGTCCAGGCCATTTCTCCGAAAGTATAAAAGTTATGACTTGAAACTTCATAGGATGATAGATCTCATTAAAAAGAAGTGCAGTGCATAAGAACTGATACTCTGCATTTCTTATTTTTGAGTAATTGCCCTTTGTTGATTTTCTTACTTTATTTTTGTCCTGGTCATTTCTCCTCAAGTATGAAAGCTATGGACTTGAAACATCATAGAATGATAGATCTTATTGATAAGAAGTGCAGTGTACAGAAATGCTGCTCTGCACGTATTATTTTTTTAGTTATTGCCCTTTGTTATTTTTCATATTTAATTTTTGTCCTGGCCATTTCCCCTAAACTACATTGTTCACAAGGCGACACATCCGACTCGCGGAGTTCTAGTTTACAAAGAAAAGATTTACCTTTTTTGTGTACTTTGAACAAGTGTTCTTCACAATCCATGTAAGTAAAATGTTCAGTTTTTAATATGGTATGCTCATACATGTGAACACTTAATGGGAGACTCCCACTTTCTACAGCCATATTTTTAAAGATTTTTCTTAAAAATAAGGAGTATTTTCACAAATTAAAGAAATCTCCCTCTTTTTGATATCAGAACTACTGGCTTCTTTGTTTATTGGGAAATCTTAACCCTTTTTTTTTTTGAAGAAAATCTCCCACTTGATCATCGAAAAAAGTGCAATAATTTTGATGTGACGTCATAAGCGTTATACAAACATAGTGTAAAAACGCGCTAAATGTTAGCGTTTTACTGTAGGTGCATCAATGAAAAATTACTCTTTTTTTCACTTTAAACAGTCCTTAGTTTGGATATGTGATAAATAGAATATTAAATTTGTGAAAGTTCATTTCTGATTTTATGGAACTTGTTGAATAAAAAAATATATGAGCTGTGTTACGACAAAACCAACATAATGGGTTTGCAACCAGCATGGATCCAGACCAGCCTGCGCATCTTCGCAGTCTGATCAGGAACCATGCTGTTCGCTTACCAACCCTATTATAAATAGAGAAACTGAAACCGAACAGCATGGCTCCTGATCAGACTGCGCTGATGCGCAGGCTGGTCTCGATCCATGCTGGTCGCAAACCCACTATGTTGGTTTTGTCATGACACGGCTCATATCCTCTGTTTACAGAAGGAAGAAAAGTATACAGTAAAGGAACAGTCAAAGTAGAAAAAGCTTCTGATCTGCCGAAGGAAGAGTCATGGATATTGGAAAAATGTGACGTCACTGTGAAACGTGAAGACATCACTGCAAGCGATACAAATGGAAATTTGAATAATTTACATGCCAAGGACTCCTCAGATGATGATAATGATTTGGAATCTAGTGATATCAATGAACCAGTTATGAAGAAAATAAAGCTAGTTGGAACTTGATCAAATAGTGTAAATGGGGATACTGAATTCTGAGAATAGTTTAAATACGTAAACATTGAAAAATCTTATGCATAGGAAATGTACAAGCAAGCAAGCTGGAGTGGCTTTTAAGAGCAGATGACTTTAAGTAAGACAGGGAAATTTACAATGTTTTAAACTAGGAAATGGCATGTATTTTCTGTGAAGAATTTAATGTTATCATATGCATTAAATTAAAGGTTGACACCTTTATATAACTTGTTAAAAGCCATTATAGTAAAAAAAAAAATTGAAAAATTTGTTAATTTGCAAACAGCCGAGTAAAGGTTTACTGGCTCCATTCTGCTGATGTTGATGTTAAAGGGGCATTCAGTTTTACAAACACATTTTGTTTTAAACTATTATGTAGCAAGACTGGCATACTTAAAATGTATAATTATTGTAAGATGCAATATAAAATTTAACTTGAAAACTTTTATCTCCTGATAGAGCTGTCATTGATAGAGACATTATCGATGTATTGTTGATATTTTTCTGTCAATATATATAATTGATACACATTTGAAAAACTTGATAATGTTGATTAATTAAATAAATGCCTGTAAATTATAAAAAAATCACCCAAAACATATACAGCATGTGGTCATGTCTAACGCTAAGCTGTTGATATATAATGGACACATTTCATAGCAGTGATGATAAAAAATGGTTAGGAAAAAATAATGCAAAGGATATTATTTTATAAACAGGACACAAATTTTTTGTATGAACAGAACATGTATTTTACTGAAATCATGTAAACAGGTATGAAAATGAATTGTATACAAGAAATTAGGAGTAATTATTGATGACATTGTTGTATCGCTGATATTTCTCATCCAATATGGATGTTTCATCAATATGCTTTGCACTGAATCAATGACAGCTCAATCTCCTGCCAATGAAATATATGAGCTGCGTCACAACAAAACCAACATAATGGGTTTGCGACCAGCATGGATCCAGACCAGCCTGCGCGTCCGCGCAGTCTGATCCATGCTGTTCGCTTACCAACCCTATTACAAGTAGAGAAACTGACAGCGAACAGCATGGATCCTGATAAGACTGTGCGGATGCGCAGGCTGGTCTGGATCCATGCTGATCACAAACGCACTACATTGTATGTTGGTTTTGTCGTGACGCGGCTCAATTATTTATATCAATATTATCAGCTATTAATGTATTGTTTTACATTTTAATTTGTTACTGAATGGAATTCTTTAAGTAAAATATTAAAGATTTGTTTACATGCTAAACTTTTTTCTTTCTATGATGCAGTTGATACATGAATATTTTCTTTGTATTCAGGAAATACTTTAGCCAGTTTACTTTTTGACAAATAACTGATCCTTTACAAAGGATCAGTAGACTTGCCCAAGAAATCATTGACAAATATGCAATTGCCGAAATAGATAACTTGTTATATTAATGATCTTGTAACATGGAAGCTCAGAATAAGAATTAAGAACATGCATATCATTTAGCATTAATAAAGTCAGAAAGACCAATGAAAACAAACTTTCAGGAATATTTACACATTTTAATAAAATTAGAAAAATATAAAAACTAGTTTATTATTTAAAATAAACATTTTAAGTCATGTTTAATAAACAATACAAACAAGAAATTCAGCAAAGCGACAAAACCAGGTTTTCAGCATATATATTTCACAGAAAATTCATCATGGGCCCTTGTTGCTGATGCATATTGTCAGCATTTTACAATTTAAAACAAAACTTTTGTGAATGTTTAGTCAAAATCTCATGAGAAATGGAGAAGCAGTTGAGAACAGTGTATTTCTGTTTGGGAAAAAAAGGGCCATAATTTCCCCAAAAATGTCTGAATCACAAAATTCTGTCAGTATGCAACAGGGCACTGAATGATAAGTAGATTAATAAATGAGCCGCGTCATGACAAAACAAACATAATGGGTTTACGACCAGCATGGATTCAGACCAGTCTGCACAGTCTGATCAGGATCCATGCTGTTCGCTATCAGTTTCTCTACTTGTAATAGGGTTGGTTAGCGAACAGCATGGATCCTGATCAGACTGCGCGGATGCGCAGACTGGTCTGGATCCATGCTGGTCGCAAACCCATAATGTTGGTTTTTCATGACATGGCTCAAATGACTCGTAATCAGAAACAGTTTCTATAATTACGTGTTTATTTCATAAAACCTAGCATCTTTCAATTGATGAAATTCTTCATTCTAAAAAAGTTCATATAAATACATTTTTTTCCTCATCAATATTTCTGTACAAAACATAGTTAAATTGCTAACACTTGATTTACATTGTATGCATATTTACTTTTAAAATTGGTGCCACAGGGATGTGTCACACATTTTTTCTGTATATGGCAGACAATTTAACTTCTTACAACCTTCACAATTCTCCAAGCTCTGAACAGTAACAAACAAATGCAATAAGAAGTAACAAATTAAAATAAGAAGACCTGATGCACTAACAATCAAAATGATTCTCACGGGGCAATGCCACTTTCCAAACGTGATATACGGCAAAAATATTACTCCACAGAGGGCGCCACTTATTAAACCCGTGATCATTCCAAATATGTCCAAATAGGGTAAAGTTCCAAGGAAAAACAGAAGGATAATAGCAACTGACAATTTCAAAAGCTCGAGCAATGGTCTGTTGACAAGTTTTTAGAAATGGGAAAAGTTCCCAAAAACCCCCACCGAGCATTCCACACACAGGGGTCCCCCTCCCCTACAAAGTACTTTGGTTGGGAACATTTTATAAAGTCTGAAAAATAATCCCAAAAAAGCTTGAAAGTTAACATAAAGAGTCGTTGAAAAAATTGTCTATTTCAAGGAAAAATCATTTTAAAAAAGGGGATAATTTAGTCTAGTTCTTATCCTTGGGTTCAATTTAAATTTTCATACCAGCATAATACCATTTAATGATTTTTTTTAGGGTTTTCGTTCCATGCAAATTTTAATACATATCTAGATGGCACTTGAGTAGAACTACTTATCTGATGTATGAAAATTAACTTCCTTAGTTTCCTCAAGAGAATAAATTCAACTTGAATAACTAAATTTACGACAAGCGACGAGTCTGGGACACTTCCACTAGGTGGTAATGTCATGATAAGCCTTGAGATTAACTCTATAACTATTAACTGAGCTCTTCCTTAAAGCAATTATATACACTTTATTTCCTGAAGCAGAATAATTTTATTGAAAATGAAAAAAGAAACTATCATAAATCAAATCCTATGTTTAAGACATGAGAATTTTGTATGGGTTTTGTTTATGAATGTATTCTTTTTTAGACTGAAATTACCTTTTCTAAAAATTGCATGCTATAAAAAGTGTTCGTGCAGAGCAAACATTTATAAATAATCTTATTAGCAAGGAAAAAATAAGTTCAGGAGAGAAATTTGGGAAGATTTTAAGTTATAACAAAATCTGAAGATTTTTATCCCTCCCTTTATTTCTACAGAATACTTTTAGAACATAAGCAACAATTATATCTACTTACCAGTAAGGCCATTGTGCCTGAGATAATATAAATGATGAGCATTCGAAACCAGCCTGCTGTCACCTCTATTTGAGTGAGGAGAAACCACTGTGCGACCATGACAACTAAAAAACTGTAAAGCCATGGTGATAAGAAAAGTGAAAAGTGGCCCCGCCACCCGGGCAGGAGAGTTGGGTTTGCCAGGGTAATAAACCCGGAAGCTGAACTCGACCGGATGACATTTTTTTCTCTAAGCACTCACCTTTATAACAAACATCAGACTTTTATATTTAAATTTTACATGTAATAAGAAATCCATGCTTTTTATCAGGATTAATCTTCTATTTTCATTATGTATAGGTTATAGGAAGGTTATATACAGAGTTTTAAGAATTTAGTTTCTTAAGACTCTGTATATTATCTATAACCTACTTACAGTTAGCCCAGCCCATTAAAATCCAGTACATTATGTTAATAGGTGTAGTCCATTACATCGGCTCATTTACATACAGTTGAGTTACAGCACTGTTTGATAAATATTTTGGCAAAATTTAAACAAAATAGAGCGAATTTATTGGCAGACAAACTTTATACTTCTATAAAATAAGTTTGACAAATTTGTGATGCAACTATCATTAATTATTTCAATCCTGCTATAACCACATACCCTTATAAGTTCTGATTTGTCCATCTTAAGAATACAGAGAAAGAATTAGGTTCAAAGTCTTACCTGACTACAATGTTCCGGTCCGAACAGGTAAAATTCTCCACCGAGAAAGGCACAGTGCTTGTGAGACATAAGGCGACACTGTCCTTTCAAACCGAGACAACATGGTTTCATATTGTGTCTAGTTCCAGCTTTGTTGACAGGTCGCTTGTTACAGGTCACATTGGCATTCCACTTCCCTATCCCTGAAGTAATCAAATAAGCATTTAAATTGCTTGAATTTAAAGTGATTAATTTAGCCTTTGTCACCTTAGTAAAGAGCCAGGCCAGCCTGTGGTACCAGTCTGAACAGGCTCTATACTGCTGGGTGATAAAAAACTTACTTTTTGTGTTGCCTTTATGGAGTAGTGGGGATATATAGGGATCACTTCTCTGTCGTCCGTCCGTCACAAAACTTGTCCAGACTACTCCTCATAAACTACTGGTGCAATTTTATCCAAACTTTACAGGGATGATCATTACTAAGTCAAGTTGTGCTATCATTGGCTTTTTAATGGTTCAATCAATTTTGTTGGAGCTATGACCCTTTAATTATTTTTCATTTTTTCAAGTTTTTTCAGACTACTTCTCTTGTACCACTAATGCAATTTCAATGAAACTTACAGGATTGATTGGTAGGTCAAGTATTTGCGCACTTTACATGGGTTTTCAGTTTGAATGATTTTTGGCCCACTTTTGACCTTGAATAAAAAGTTTGTTAATTAAATTTGTCAAGACTACTCCTTTTATACCATTAATGCAATTTCAATGAAACTACAGGATTGATTAGTTGGTCAAGAACTTGTGCATAATACACAAGTTTTTGGCTTGAATGAGTTTCAGCTTAGTTATTGCCCTTGAGTAAAAAATGTCTTTTGCCCTGTTAATAATTTTTGAATCTCCTGCTACACAGTGACACAAGTCATCACTGATTGCCCTTGTTTTATCTTGATACCCTTAAAAAGTGATAATGGACAGTCCAAAATTGGATGGCAGACAAGTCAAATCAAAATTTCAACAGGTAAAGGGTTAAAGGTCTATTCAAATTAGTAAATATTTGGCTGGGCCATATGACTAGGGTCAATTCTTAAAATACTTTGCATTCTCCATTAAATATAAGTACCACCTCGTGTCTAAGTAGAAAAAAAAACAACATGACAAAGAAATACCTGTTTCCCATGGAGGCTAAAAGACATACCTTCAGTAAGATTGTCACACTCAGCCTGTGTTGTGGTACCTGCTACATTTCTGGTAGACACTTCACAACATCCTAGTGGTGTATCAGTGCTGTAGTTCTGTTTAGATTGTTCAAACTGAAGCTGAATATCTGTTCTCATACATGGTGCAAAAACACCACCCACTCCTGTAATAGCAAAAAAAATTTAATCTCACATAGTCTCAGAAAAGCTCTGTAATAATTGCTTAGGATATTGAATAAATTGGTATTTGACAGTTTAACAAATTCAATGTCACACATTAGAAAAGAAAATGAAATTTTTTCAAAGATTTTTTTTTTTTTCAACGAAAAAAAAAAAAAAAAAAAACAAAAAAAAACAAGAATCATTACCTATCAAGCTTTTTTCACTTGGACCTATCCAAACATTTGGTGCTGTCCACTTGTGTATCGTCTCCATGCCCATGAAAGTCTGTATACCAGACTCCACTGTAAGCTTCGGCTCTACACCAATCAGTGTTACTCCTTGTAGACCATATATTACGATGAAAGAAACCAACTGAGCCTAATATAAAGACAAGAAAAATGTGCGAATAGTTTGACCACAATAATATACAAGGACAGCGTCATATCAAGATATAACCAAGCATAAATCAATACAACTTTAGTTTACATTATATTATATCTGCTCGAGTGAAAATTAAAATTAAAACAAATTTCTGAACTGGTCTAGTGATTAAAAGTCAATCTGATATGTCAATATAATCCTAAGGGATTGTGGTTCTTACTGGAATTTGGGTCACAATCAAGTTCCCCTATATGACAATTTTTTTTTTTTTTTTTTTTTTTTTTTTTTTACAATTTCACTGATAGCAAATCTAAAGTGGTTTTTTGTCACTATTAAGCTAAACCTATCATTTTAAGTAAACGTAAAATCATTATTCTAGAAGCAAATGAGAGCTGTTTGAAAGAAGACAATTGTTTATATATTAGTACAAACTCTGACAATACCTTGAACTTTTCATGAAAATCTTATCACAATTGTTTCAGTTTAACTTTAAAATTATTTAGTCAGAAACTAGTTTAATATTTCCATATTTGCGCCTGTAAGTTGAAAATGAATGTCTGTGACTGATACTGGAATAACAATTATAATACAAAAAAAAAAATTAAAAAAAAAAATGTAACTCCTGTCAGCTAAACTTCAGATAATCATCATTTACTTACAAATATAATGAAATATGTAAAAATAGGCAGGTAATCTGGTAGTGAGCCAAGTTTCCGGCGATGTTCTGTATGTCCTATCTGGTGACTACTACTTTTCTTCACATTCCTCTTTAACGTCTTCCATCGGGCAGCGTTCTTAGAGTTTGGGTTAATGTAATAATCTATATAATAAGAATGTTTCACTTTACTATTTTTATTTTTAGACTTTCAGTATCCAGTCACTCCAACACTCAATCACTATGTTGTAGTTATATATAACATTCTAGCCTGACAATTGGACGAAAATCTCAGGTGCCCTATGTATTAAAGCCAAGTGCGCAATAAAATTGAGTCTGATTGAGGGGCCTTAGTCCCCCTTATCGCCAAGAAAATTTTGGACATGTGACAGGCTAAAAATGGCCTCAGGTCGATCTTAGGGTTACAACTAGTAACCAATCCTTAAAAGCCTTTTACTCTATCTCAATTATTGAGAAGTTGCAGCACTTTGAAATAAGTTTTTATGAAAAAACAAAAAAACCCAATTCAAAATAGTGATTTTTGGCAATTTTGAGATGTCCCCCCGTTGCCCTGGACATTTACGATTGAGCGAGCTGTTACAAAGGCTATGGTCTAGTTTAATATTTGTGCCATTAGTTTCATCAGTATTGAAGCATTTTTCATAGTTTCATAGCAGTTTGAACTTGTAACAGGAGGCTTAATTTCAATGAAAACGGCCATTTTTCACAATATGCTCATGGGGTAAAAGGTTAAAGCTTCGATAATTCCATGAGAGACTCTGAGACAGGGCTCACATGATATTATCTAATTAACCATAGAAATGGGTCATACATATGGTTAATAATAATAGATAAATGAAAAAGCACTGATTGGAAAACACTATAAACAGTTTCTAATAATAAAAAAAAGATTAAAAAAAAAGAAGAAGAAACTTAAATATTCAGAGATATAAGCAGTCATTAAAGGCAATCTTAGTGTTTTTAAAAAAAATATGTAAAAAAAATTATTGTTCTGAAATTATAAGTACATATATGTTCTTTTTTCATTCAAATTCAAATACAATATAGACAAAACAGGGTTAAATATTGAAACATCATATTACTTAATGTCACAATAAAAACCAAATTCAGTCGTCATTTATATAACCTGAATCTTGGCAAAGAAATATATTCAGATGTACTGTTACATTCCTATTAAACACCCCAACTGGTGCTAAACATTTTCCAAAAGGGGGGCTATTAAGTTACAAGACAGTAAGAGTTATTCCTAAATCCAAAAATCTTTGTTATTTTAAATTTTAAGCAAGTGTTGGTAAGAACTTTAAAAAGTGTTACAAATTTTTAAGTTTATTATTATATGATACAAATTTGTGTTTACTATAAAATAAAATGAGCCGCGTCACGACAAAACCAACATAATGGGTTTGCGACCAGCATGGATCCAGACCAGCCTGTGCATCCACGCAGTCTGATCAGGATCTATGCTGTTCGCTTAAAGACCCTATAACAAGTAGAGAAACTGATAGCGAATAGCATGGATCCTGATCAGACTGCGCGGATGCGCAGGCTGGTCAGGATCCATGCTGGTCGCAAACCCATAATGTTGGTTTTGTCATGACGCGGCTCAAATGGATTCTGAAGGATTCTAATAAAATTATGGATTTACTCATTTGTTCAGCAAATTGATGAGTAAAATTTTTCAATATCAAAAAACCTTGGGGGCCCATGGGAGGATTTTGTTAGCGGAGGAGCGTTTAATAGGGATTTTACAGTATATAAAAAAGACAATGTCCAGATCTTGAGAGAAGCAGCAGTATCAATCATTCTCAAATACATAGATTACTTCCCCTACCTTTAGCCATTGCAATCATTTCATCTATGGCAGACAATTTCCAGTCATACTCCTTTAGTTTGGCTACCATTTCATCTTTCAATCTTTGTTTCTCTACTTTTCTTTCTATCTGTAACACAATTATCGGGTAACAACTATTACAGCTAAATTTCTTGTTGTTCATACATTTAAATTACACATTTTTTCTCACATGCCTTTCTAGTTTGATCTCCGAAGTTAGTCTAATTGCATAAAATGATAATATTATTTCAGGCATTTATGGCTGTAATGCTTACTCAGACACTTGGATATTTGCAATTCAGACCTTAAATTGCAATATGGTTTAAAAAAGGGGTAGTTTATTTTTGTGTCGCCTCTACGGAGTAGTGGCGACATATAGGGATCACTTCTCCGTCGTCTGTCAGTCCGTCACAAAACTTGTCCGGACTACTCCTCATAAACTACTGGTGCAATTTCATCCAAACTTTACAGGAAAGATCAGTACCAAGTCTAGTTGTGCATATTGTCAGCATTTTCCGGTTCAATGATTTTTGTCAGAGTTATGGCCCTTTAATAATCTTTAATTTAAAAGTTTGTCCGGACTACTTCTCTTATACCACTAAAGCAAATTCAATGAAACTTTACAGGATTGATCTGTAGCTCAAGTCCTTGCGCATATTGCACGGGTTTTCTGGTTGAATGATTTTTGGTTGAGTTATGGCCCTTTTTTTCTGTGTGTTGCAAGATACGCAAAAGCTTGTCCGGCCTACTCCTCATAAACTACTGGTGCAATTTTATCCAAACTTTACAGGAATGATCAGTACCAAGTCTAGTTGTGCACTGTCCGTCTGTCTGTCCGTCTGTCACAAACTTTGTCCCAACATGAAATTGGCCATCATGAGGCGACACATGTGATTACTGATCGCTCTTGTTGAAATTTTGAAAGAAAAAGTCTTGAGTTTTTCCTGACACACTTTTTTTCAGTATTTTCACAAACTTCATCAATACTGATAACATAGTCATAGTTTTTGACAACTCTTAAGCTGCATATAATATTATAATAAAGTACCCAGTCGATGGAATTTTGAAGTTTACTGCATAGAGTAGTACATGTAGTAGTTTTGAAAAGAAAACAGTAATATTTTTTTTCACATTGAAAATCATTCTCTTTCTGAAAATGTCCCAAAAAAAAGGCTTTAAGCAAGACTCCAAATTACTGAAAAATATTTTGTTCAATCCTTGGTTTTTATCTAAGGAAGAGAATAAATGAAGTGTATACATCTTTATATAATACTGACCTGTACATAGAATTTATAATGTTTCAAGGCTTCTTTCCCATACACAACATCCTCGGGAAATAGTTTACTTTTAACCTCCTGGGTGAAAAAAGATCAATTTACTTTATTAGAACCAATTTTTCTATATACATGTATAACAAAAAAGGTAAATATTGGGTCAACTAATCAAACATAATAGGTCATGTCTAAAGATGTCTTGCAAACTTTTGCTTTTATTGTCTAGATAGTGGTAGGTCCACCTTCAATACATTTTTAGGACTTTATTTCCATCCTAAAACAAGAGGGCCATGATGGCCCTGGGGTCGCTCACCTGTACATAGGCCCCCAGGGCGGGGCTAGTTTAAACCAAAGGTCTTAAATTTGAACAAACTTTGAAGACACCCATTAGAAGATGTTTCATGATGTTAAGTTTTTACTATACACAAATAATGAAAAACAATGACTTTGGCCCCCCCCTGGCAGGGCCAATTTTAACCCAAGGGCTTTTATTTTAACAAACTTGGTAGACACCCATTAGAACATGTTTCAGCTAAATATCTTAGCTCTAGCTCTTTGGGTTCTTTAAAAGAAGATTTTTAAGTTTTTAATTATAATATGCAAATATAGGGAAGATTAATGACCCCCTGGGCGGGGCCAATTTTGAATCCGGAAGGGCTTTTATTTGAACAAACTTGGTAAACGGCCAATGCTAAAATTCTTAGCTCTAGCTCCTTTGGGTTCTCTATGTATATAGGGCAATCAATGACCGCTAGGCAACTTTTACCCAAGGGCTTTTATTTTGACAGACTTGGTAGACACCCATAAGAAGATGTTTCATGCTAAACATCTAAGTTCTAGCTCATTGGGTTCTTTAAAAGAAAATTTTTAAGTTTTTACTATACATATATAGTTAAAAACAATGACACCCCTGGGGCAGGGCCAGTTTTGACCCCTGGGCTTTTATTTGAACAAACTCGGTAGACATCCATTAGAACATGTTTTATGCCAAATATCTAAGCTCTAGCTCTTTGGGTTTTTTAGAAGAAGATTTTTTAAGTTTTTACTATATGCATATAGGGAAAATCAATGACCCCCTGGGGCGGGGCCAATTTTGACCCCAGGGGTTTTATTTGAACAATCTTGGTAGACACTCATTAGAAGATGTTTCATGCTTAATATCTTAGCTCTAGCTCTTTGGGTTCTTTAAAAGAAGATTTTTTAAAGTTTTTCTATATGCAAATAGGGAAAATCAATGACCCCCCTGGGGCGGGGCCAATTTTGACCCCAGGGCTTTTATTTGAACAATCTTGGTAGACACTAACTAGAAGATGTTTCATGCCAAATATCTAAGCTCTAGCTCTTTGGGTTTTTTTAGAAGAAGATGTTTAAAGTTTTTTTTTTTGGTTGCCGTGGCAACCAGAGTTCTGCATGGAATGGAATTCTTTGAAGAACTTTGTTAAGGCTTCACACAAGGAACATCCCTGTGAAGTTTCATTATGATCTGCCTTATGGTTTTAGAGGAGATGTTGTTTGAAAAGTGTGAACAGACAACGGACGACGTATGACATACTACGGACGAAAGACGACGGACGAAGAGTGATCCTAATAGCTCACCCTGAGCACATGCTCAGGTGAGCTAAAAAGGCCTTCTCACGTTTCCATGCAACTCACTTTTTTTTACTCAATGTTAAAATTACTGGTAATAATTATAAAAAACAAGAGGGCCATGATGGCCCTAAGGTCCCTCACCTGTTATATAGGCCCCTGGAGCGGGGCCAGTTTTAACCCCTGGGCTTTTATTTGAACAAACTTGGTTGTATATGTATGTATGTATATATATATATATATATATATATATATATATATATATATATATATATATATGTGTGTATGTATATATATATATATATATATATATATATATATATATATATATATACATACATACATACATATATATATATATATATATATATACATATATATATATATACATATACATATATATATATGTATGTATATATATATATATATATATATATATATATATATATACATACATACATATATATATATATATATATTTATATATATACATATATATATATATATACATATACATATATATATATATACATATACATGATATGTATATATATATATATATAAATATATATGTGTATATATATAATATGTATATATCAACAAAAAAAAAGTCAAGCTAATGAATGACCCCCGGGGCGGGGCCAATTTTGACCCCAGGGCTTTTATTTGAACAAACTTGGTAGACACCCATGAGAACATGTTTCATGCTAAATATCTTAGCTCTAGCTCTTTGAGTTCTTTAAAAGAAATTTTTTTAAGTTTTTACTATATGCATATAGGGAAAATCAATGACCCCCGGGGGCGGGGCCAATTTTGACCCTAGGGCTTTTATTTGAACAAACTTTGTAGACACTCATTAGAAGATGTTTCATGCTAAATATCTTAGCTCTAGCTGTTTGGGTTCTTTAAAAGAAGTTTTTTAAGTTTTAACTATATGCATATAGGGAAAATCAAAGACACCCTGGGGCGGGGTCAATTTTGACCCTAGGGCTTTTATTTGAACAAACTTGGTACACACTCACTAGAAGATGTTTCATGCTTTATATCTAAACACTAGCTATCTGGGTTTTTTCAAAGAAGATTTTTAAGTTTTTGCTATAACAGTCATATAAGGAAAATCAATGACCCCCGGGGCGGGGCCAATTTTGACCCCAGGGATTTTATTTGAACAAACTTTGTAGACACTCACTAGAAGATGTTTCATGCTTAATAGCTAAACTCCAGCTATTTGGGTTTTTTTAAAGAAGATTTTTTAAGTTTTTGCTATACACATATAAGGAAAATCAATGACCCTGGGGCGGAGCCAATTTTGACCCCAGGGCTTTTATTTGAACAAACTTGGTAGACACCTATTAGAACATGTTTCATGCTAAATATCTTAGCTCTAGCTCTTTGAGTTCTTTAAAAGAAGATTTTTTAAGTTTTTACTATATGCATATAGGGAAAATCAATGACCCCCTGGGGCGGGGCCAATTTTGACCCTAGGGCTTTGATTTGAACAAACTTGGTAGGCACTCATTAGAAGATGTTTCATGCCAAATATCTAAGCTCTAGCTCTTACGGTTTTTTAGAAGAAGATTTTTTAAGTTTTTCTTATTGGTTGCCATGGCAACCAGAGTTTTTAATGGAATTTAAATTTTTGAACAACTTTGAAAGGGGTCCACCTAAGGATCATTTCTGTAAAGTTTGGTTGCAATTGGCCATGTAGTTTAGGAGGAGATGTTGTTTGAAAAGTTTGACGCCATTTTTTGAAGGACGCACGACGCACGACGCACGCAGAGTGATGACAAAAGCTCACCTTTGAGCACTTCGTGCTCAGGTGAGCTAATAAAAAACAAGAGGGTCATGATGGCCCTAAGGTCGCTCACCTGTATTTAGGCCCCCGGAGCGGGGCTAGTTTAAACCCCAGGCCTTTTATTTGAACAAACTTGGAAGACACTCATTAGAAGATGTTTCATGGTGTTAAGTTTTTACTACACACATATAATGAAAAACAATGACCCCCCCCCCCCCTTTGGCAGGGCCAATTTTAACCCAAGGGCTTTTATTTGAACAAACTTGGTAGACACCCACAAAAAGATGTTTCCTGCAATCTAACCTCTAGCTCATTGGGTTTTTTTAAAGAAGATTTTTAAGTTTTTACTATACACATATAGTAAACAAGAGGGCCATGATGGCCCTGAGGTCGCTCACCTGTATAAAGCCCCCCCCCCCCGGGCCAATTTTTACCCAAGGGCTTTTATTTGAACAGACTTGGTAGACACCCATAAGAAGATGTTTTATGCTAAACATCTAAGTTCTAGCTCATTGGGTTTTTTAAAACAAGATTTTTAAGTTTTTACTATATACACATATAGTTAAAAACAATGACACCCCTGGGGCAGGGCCAGTTTTGACCCCTGGGCTTTTATTTGAACAAACTTTATAGATATTTATTTAAAGATGTTATGTATAATATCTAAACTCAAGCTACTTGGGTTTTTTCAAAAGAGATTTTTCAGTTTTTGCTATACACATATAAGGAAAATCAATGACCCCCGGGGCAGGGCCAGTTTTGACCCCAGGGCTTTTATTTGAACATACTTGGTAGACACCCATTAGAACATGTTTCATGCTAAATATCTTAGCTCTAGCTCTTTGAGTTCTTTAAAAGAAGATTTTTTAAGTTTTTACTATATGCATATAGGGAAAATCAATGACCCCCCCAGGCCGGGCCAATTTTGACCCCAGGGCTTTTATTTGAACAAACTTGGTAGACACTCATTAGAAGATGTTTCATGTCAAATATCTTAGCTCTAGCTCTTTGGGTTCTTTAAAAGAAGATTTTTTAAGTTTTTACTATATGCATATAGGGAAAATCTATGACCCCCTGGGACGGGGCCAATTTTGACCCCAGGGCTATTATTTGAACAACCTTGATAGACATTCACTAGAAGATGTTTCATGCCAAATATCTAAGCTCTAGCTCTTACGGTTCTTTAAAGAAGATTTTTAAGTTTTTACTATATGCATATAGGGAAAATCAATGACCCCCCGGGGCGGGGCCAATTTTGACCCCAGGGCTTTTATTTGAACAAACTTGGTAGACACTCACTAGAAGATATTTCATGTCAAATATCTTAGCTCTAGCTCTTTGGGTTCTTTAAAAGAAGATTTTTAAGTTTTTACTATATGCATATAGGGAAAATCAATGACCCCCTGGGGCAGGGCCAATTTTGACCTCAGGCCTATATTTGAACAAACTTGGTAGACACTCATTAGAAGATGTTTCATGCTAAATATCTTAGCTCTAGCTCTTTGGGTTCTTTAAAAGAAGATTTTTTAAGTTTTTGCTATATGCATATAGGGAAAATCAATGACCCCCTGGGGCGGGACCAATTTTGACCCCAGGGCTTTTATTTGAACAAACTTGGTAGACATTCACTAGAAGATGCTTCATGCCAAATATCTAAGATCTAGCTCTTACGGTTCTTTAAAAGAAGATTTTTAAGTTT